GGTCATGGCACTGTTTTAATTTGTGTTTGTTCTCGCAACCACTCTTGAACAACCCCCGCACGGTGTATCGGACAATTAATTATCTTGAAAGAAATGAAATTCTGACACGTCTGTTTGGGGTACACCGTGCGAACTGTGGGTAACATAATATTATGCAGCATGTCTCTATACGTGTGGCCATTTGCCCTCACTGGTATAAAAGCAAGCTCGCCTGGTCCAGCTGCACTCATCCACCCTTACATATTCACAACAACTCTCCCAGATTCTGCGTTTGGGATTACATTTCGAGGTTCGTATCATGTGTTACGACGACCTTGTAGGCTTGACTTAAAGCACTTCTCGTCGGAGAATAAAGCGTATGTAAAATCAAAGTCTCTGCATTCACGAGCAAATCGCACACCAGCAGCTTTTTGCTCCAGTCTGAAAATATCTTTTTAGTGGGTCGATTGTGATGGACTTCAGCCCGGTGTAACTCATTCTAATCTAAACTCGGTCTAATCGTTTGCATCGACACTTCGTATTCTTTTGCGAAACTGCGAGTGCATGAGGGAAAAGACGGCACAGCCATGCAGCCTTCTTGCCGAGGAAGTGAAAGGGCAATAGGTGACATCGGTCTTCTCACAGTGGGCGTCACTCAAGTGGCGTGATCCTGAGGCTCGTTTAAGCGGGTGAGTGACTCGCCTATTCGCTACAAAAGAATAGTCAGCGTGTAGTCTTAGGGTCGGAGTGTAGGAGATGAAGTATACGCTTACACTATTAGCAACAAAGAAAACTTAAAAAAAATATAATAAAAAATCAAATATTTTTCTACGTGTCGGTCAGCTCCAGCTATAGTATTCTTAGGGTCAAAGGACTTTTGATGTTTTATCTAGAAGACTTAACAAATTATTTAAATGATCGCAAAAAAATATTGCTCTACATAAAGAAATTGTTGCTCTCTGAGAGTTCGAGATATCATTTTATAGATAAAAATTGTTATTAATTTTGCACTTATTATCAAGAAATCACGACAACTATTAAAAACTCGATTAATTTCTGATTACTCTCTGGAGCTTCTCACATTCGCGAGGTCATTCATCACTTCATCAAGAATTTCTGTTAAATTTCGAAATCAATCGTTTCAAGATCATGTGTCATGACATAATGCCTGTTTAAAAGACTCAGTAGTAGGTCACTGTACAAACTTTGAATGTCGCTAAAAGAAATTAGGACAAAGCTTTCTATCTGAAAAAAATGTTGAATTTTATAAATTTCGGGCGCGAGAGTTCGCCGCCGCCGATCACTTCCCTGAGGACACAGTGGTGCTAAGCCCAGGCAGGGCACACCGCCACCGAATGCTCCACCGTATTCTCTAGGTGGTCCTCACAATGACGACACTCGGGCGGGTCCTCCCACTGGATCCGAAACAGGAATCTACCGATGCTGCCGTGCCCGGTAAGCACCAGCGTCAGACGGAAGGTGAGGACGCCGTGGCGTCAAGCAATTCGTCTAAGAGAGGTCTTACCGCTGCTATAACAGCGTGCCCGAAAAGTAGATAATTACAATAGATTTAAAACAAGTTAAATGTGTCTTTATGTGGATCAGGTACTAGGCTCAACTCGTTGTACAAATTGATATGTAAGCCTTATAAATGAGTAAAGTCTATAAAAGGAATGACTATTAATTCTACTTTCCAAACATCGTGGCATCGTCCTTAATAATATTTTGGTAGATAGGCGGAATGCTTTGAGCTAACTACTTTGAACGAATGGCTTTGGCCAAGCCATTTGTCGGCGGCCTCACAAAATCCGGAATAATATGTTTGCTTTGTTTTGAATAATTGAGCTGTAAAACATTGTGATGATTAAGTGATATTTTTATGGACCAACTTTAAGAATGAAATATTATTTTATCATTTACTGATCATTTTAGGCTATACCTATCAATTAGCCGGGGCCATATGGTATCGCGGCCTTGGTCTAGAGCAGAAGAAGGAACTGAGGCGAGGCGGAGAGGGTTTGGTCATTAAGAGTTTAACACTCCATCCGGCCACACACTGGGCGTGGAAGTCATTTGATTATTTTCCCCACAAAAAAGTACTTATTAATTCCTAATAAGACGTAAACTAACTTCGTGACGACTCCAGCGAAGACAAAAGGACGGATTATGTGTTCATGGCTCCCGTGCACGTGGTATATTTATATGTTTCCACGAATTCGTCTCGCTCAGCATTGTACCTGACATTGTTCATTGTTTTCGAAAACTTCTTTATATGAAGCGACTTTGACTTGACTATCTTTTAACAATAAATTTGTTAGTAGTATTGTAGTTTGTTAAAAGTAATGGTATTAAGAACGTATTTTATATCTTCAAACTATTCTAAGCCATCTTTTTACAAGATGTGATTAGTAACACAATAAGACTCGGCTGTTGTCCCTTCTACACTAACAACTGGGATTGTTTGTGGATTCTTATATATTTTTATATTTTTTTGTTTATTACCTTTCTTAATTTAAGATCATTAAGATTGTTGTTTTTGCTTATGAGACTTACCTCGTAAACGTATTGATATTATCAGTGGCAACTATATCAATTAGTAGAGCTAGTGTCGTTTCGTATACGCCTTATATCCCTGCCTTACGCGCGCTCCACCTCTGCTCGCACGGAAGAATGAGGCTCCGTGCTACGCCTCGGAGGCGTGGAAGGAAAGAATACTCTATGCGAGCCCCCATTATCATTTTAGATATTTGTTTTGTATGTCGTGTGTCGTAGCTCCGTACCACCAGATTAGCAATTGCTGTATAATATTTTTACTCGTTTATTTGTATGTTAGGTATTATAGCCAGGTGAATGACATATCGTAATGTTTAGAAAAAATATACCACATGTTTGCAAGCTATGAACCACTTTGAATGTCACTTTTGTCTTCTTTACAATGGTTTGTAACCAAGTGTTTTTTTGTCTTTGTATGGCTTAAAACAGTCGAGCGACAGAGCAGTAAATTATTCCCATTTAAACTAAAGTATTGTTTATTTACGTTTATCGCAATCACAAAAAGTTCTTTTTTAGAGGAGTTTAAAAAGGTTCTCTTATATGAGAATGGAACGAATAAGTAAGAATACAAAAAAACAACACATGCTAAATGTTCTTTTTCTTATATTGGAACCTTGCAGGCTGCACACTTATAGCAGCCTATAAGTGTCCATAAGTTCTCAAACGTTTGAGATAGTTAGAAATTATAAGTTCAGGTTTCCCATCTAGTACATTTATTTATTAAAAATTGAGTGACGCTTGTTTAGAACAAGTGTTATAACACTTATCTGCACCACCCTTACGGTTGACTGGTAGAGAATGCCTTTCGCCATTTAACGATTGGGAAGGAACGGGTGAGGATTCGGCCTCCAGTAACTTCAATCACACGGCGAAACACAACGGTGAGGTTGTTTCACGCCAGTTTTCTTTGAGACCGTGGTATTACTCCGGTGGCATCGACCCATTCGTGCCGAAGCTTGGTTCTTAATAATATCATACTCCATAACATAATATTATCTCTCTGTATCAAACTGCATTTATCATATCTATTCGATACTTTTTATGAGAAAGAGTAACAAATCAACCATTCAGCTATCAATACTAACAAAATTTTTCCGTTAATCATACTAGTGGACTTCTACGTTTTACACAAAGTAAAAAACTCCAAATATGAATGTTGACAGAGACATTACTAAATCCCACAATTTACAAATCATAGCAGAAATAAAAAAAAATAAGAAGTGACTTCATATTATTGTCAGACGAGCTCAGCTAACTAGCTGCTAACTAGTACTAACTAGTACATTGGATAGCTCATGTGACCCTGAGATGGCACAAACCATTCTAATGTAACAAATAATTCAAATTCAAATTCAAATGTTTATTGCATTCCATTATGTTACATTAGGTGTTATTATATTATTATTATATTTACGTTTATTAGGTGTTCGAATCTACAATCACTGTTCTAAAGTACACTGTAGTACTACGCCATGCTACGCCGTAGTACACTGCAATAGTGCTACGGTATGCTACGGCTACTATAATATTGCTTGTACGCATATTCTTAAAAAAAAAAGTTTTTTATTTCGAAACAAGAAAGCCAGGGAGTACAAATTCAATAACATATTGCGATAAATAAATTTAAAAATATAAATAATTGAATTATATTAAGAATTAATGGACAGTAAGTGACAACAAATTAATTAGATCATAATTGATTTTTAAATTTTAAATACTGTTGAAAGATTCACGAATGTTTTAATGTATTCAATTTATTAATGACAGTTAATTAGTTAATGACATTTGTCGGTAAAAAATTAACACAAGTTATATTTGGTTCAATTTCTTTTTGGCTGTCAAGGCGTATAAAAATGTAAGTACCATTTATTATTGTTGTATTGTTTTATATTATTATTACTAGATTATTAGATTCAGTGTATGTATGATTTTTGTAGTAATATTAATGTATGAGTGAGAAGAAGGTTAGTAAACATAGTTTTTGTTATGTTACATAGCAATCAGGAGTAAGATATAAAACACCTGCATGGGTATAACTACTAGACAAAACTTAGCGCTTTTAAATTATCAAAATATATATTGATATAAATATAGGTGATATAAATTGGTTTGGAACAGGACGAAACGAACGATTTTATACAATAGTGACACTTTGTAACAAATTCTAGAAATATTTTAATTAATACTAATCGATTACATAACAAGGTTCACGGTACCGATAAATACAATACGAAGGAATATGGATGCACCGATAACTTACAAATTAGAACAAAAAGATATTAGACTAATGGGTAGATGAGTCACAGACTCGCAGGTAGCGTGTGAAAGTTTGTGAATATTGACAATTGATACTACTTTAGCTAAAGGGCAAGCAAGCAGTAGTTGGAGTCAGTGTTCCTCGGAGCGTTGTAGTGTGCGGTTGTGTGATCAGTTTAGAGCTTACTAGGTGTGTAAGAATTATGTCGAAGATGTGGTCTAACTCGAAGTATTCCCTAAGGAATCATTCCAAACCTTACAATTTGGAAAAGTTCAATAAACGCCAGACCCAGCAGAGATCGAGAACTTATGGCTTGACCTCCGCTATATCTCACGACGGTGAGTTATCGACATTGGTTCTGTTTTTCAGTATCAGATATTTTGCGAGGATTTATATTAACTTAATTTATGATTGCAGGCCCGAAACTTGCCGATGTCGACAAAAACGAGCGATTGCGAGAGTACCTGGCCTCGTACGGTGTGTTCGAGTCCGAGCAAGAGACTCAGCATCGTTGTGAGGTGCTCGGCACACTGCACCAGCTCGTGAGGCAGTGGGTGAGGGAGGAGTCTCTCAGCCAGAACATGCCCGCTGAGGTAGCGAGCTCAGTCGGAGGAAAGGTGTTTACTTTCGGCTCCTACAGGCTGGGGGTGAGTGATAGTCATTATGTAGACATTTTATTTTCTTCTTACCAAAGTTTAGAGCTTTGAGTCGGTAACATTACAATTTTTTACATTGTCTTTAAATACTGATTTTATATCAATACGAGTTTATATGTTTAACAGGTACACAACAGAGGTGCTGATATCGACGCGCTGTGCGTTGCGCCGCGGCACATTGAGCGAAGAAGTTTTTTCTCTACATTTTATAGTCTTTTGAAGGCTCAAAAACAGGTTGGTACAACTTGTTATAGCTTGCTCGACTTTTCTACCTGTACAGTTATATCGGGTTATAGATACATGTTTATGAAACTAACATTTCATCCGTGTCTTTTTGCAGGTCAAAGATTTGATAGCCGTTAAAAACGCTTACGTTCCGGTTATCAAACTGAACTTTGACGGAATTGACATAGACCTATTGTTCGCAAGACTTCCTCTGTCGAAAATTCCAGGTAAGATAACTTTTTGATAACTAAGCCTCTTAGAACCAAATTTGAAAATCGTTTTAAATGTCGATTAACAAAATTATTATGTTTGTGTACAGATTCTTTTGACCTCGATGACGACATGTTGTTGAAGAATTTGGACCAGAAGTGTGTGCGCTCACTAAACGGTTGCAGAGTGACGGACGAGATTCTTCGACTCGTTCCTAACGTAGAGAACTTCAGGCTCACACTGCGTACCATCAAGCTGTGGGCTAAACGTAAGTGATTCAGCATAAGACAATATTTATTAAATTGCAACTCTGTCTTAGAAGCTGTGTTGTCATCAATAATTCAAATCTTTTAACAGGACGAGGAATTTATTCCAATGCGCTGGGCTACTTGGGTGGTGTGTCATGGGCCATGTTGGTGGCTCGTACATGTCAGTTGTACCCCAACGCCTTGCCTGCAACATTAGTGAACAAGTTCTTTTTAATCTTCTGCCAGTGGAGATGGCCACTACCAGTTCTGCTGAAGCGAGTCGATCCTGTCAGACTTGGTTTCCCCGTCTGGGATCCTCGAGTAAGTATTGTTTTTCATTTTATTTTGTAATTTTTCATAATTACATTTTAAGTACATATTAATTTGCTCTTCTTCTATTCTTCTAATTCTTACAAATGTATGAAATAATAAGTGTCTGTATCTATGCAATTCATTTCAGGTGAACTTAGCGGATCGGTACCACTTGATGCCCGTAATCACTCCTGCTTATCCACAGCAGAACTCTACGTTCAACGTGAGCGCTTCCACCAGGTCCGTCATGGTAGAGGAGCTTAAGATTGGTATGTACATCATCCACGTAGAACATTTCAAACCTATTATGTCACTGGTATATTAATTGTCTACGTTAGTGTAAAAAGGTATTTCAAATGAATATTGTTAATTGTGCACAGGTCTGGCCGCGTCGGAGGAAATAATGAAGGGCAATTGTGGTTGGGAATGTTTGTTCGACACGCCGAACTTCTTTCCCAAGTACAAGTACTTCATAGTACTGCTGGCTTCCTCCTTCAGCCCGGACGACCAGCTGCAGTGGAGTGGGCTCGTCGAAAGCAGGATCCGACATCTAATTGGTCAGTGTTGACTTCAAATAACAGACAGCACGTTTGGTGCGGTGGCTTGGCTACTGACAGCTGCGCAACGTGTCACGGTTGGATTCCCGCACGGAACAACTCTTTGTGTGATCCACAAACTAATTTTCCGGGTCTGGGTGTGAGGCGTATGTGAAATTGTACGTTTTTGAACGCTCCTACGACACAAGAGATAGTCTTTTTCACTTAGCTTACTAATGGAATTCAAGCGTGAAAACTATGTCTAATGTTCCATAATTTGTTACAGCTACACTTGAGCAGAACTCCTCCATCGCACTCGCTCACGTGAACCCCGAGTGCTTCAACACCGCGCCTCTTAACGCAACCACTGGTCAGCATAAATCTAACTGCTGCTCTATGTGGTTCATCGGGTTGCAGTTTGAGAAGAGCACGCTGAACCTAGACTTGACATATGACATCCAGACCTTCGTGGAGAACGTCAACAGTCAAGCTAGGAAAACTAACATGCTAAAAGAAGGCATGATTATACAGGTAATGTTTTACTGCTAACTTTTCTTTGGTATTGGAATTGGTGCCCAAACAAAATGATTATTTTTACGCACTTTAGTACCGTTATTCACGTGATGAAAGTTTGTCATTGCTAAGTAACATTTTATATTTCCTCAGGCCCGGTACGTGCGTCGCAAGCAGTTGAACCAGTACCTGCCGGCCTCCCAGCTGCGTCGCGAGCGCACCTCCCCCGACACCAACAGCAGCTCTGAATCTACACCCTCACCCCGGCCCTTGCTCTCACCACCTCTCGTGTCCCTCGCAGCAACCGAGCGACTCCCTGGCAGGAAATAAACTAGATTACCAAAATACTACAATTTAAAAAAAAAGATGTTTAATAAAAAATATCCACAAATTTAATATTTTCATTATACTCTCCTTAATTCATCGAACTCCAAGCGTTTCGGATTGCCACGATAAAAGGTTAGTGGATCTTAGTAGCCAATTTATAAAAATTGTGTATTATCAAAATGATTTCATATTTAGATTTTTTATTGGTGACTTTTGTATCTTAGATTAACACATTATAACGGAAGGAAAATATTTCATGTCTTTGTTACTCACTTTGTTAGTTACATAGTTCGATTCGAGCTCGAGATCCATTTATTTCTGAGAATAAATTGGAAACAATACTGTTTACGTCACAAGTCGGGAGCTTTCGATTGCTTTTTAAAAAAACTTGTCAATTTGTTCCCATTGTGCCTGTCTTGTTCTTGAGTTATAAAATTCAGAGAGCTGAAGTCAGTCAGATTATCATCACCTGGCTTGTTTTGCCAGGATCGATTCTAGGTCATGTGATAAATATTCTTCAATATTATTTAAATTCAAATGTCTATCCGAGATTTATCAGACGGCCAATTAATAAAAATTTAAATAAATACACATTGGAAAAAGTATATTGCAAGAACTACGTATGTATCTTCTTTAATAGCAATCGCTACTACGAAAATAACAAAACTGTGACGCATTGTAGCAGTTAATACATGGTAAGATGGCGCGCGTTGTACTTAAACACGCCTCCAAGGCGGAGCACGGAGGTGACACCTCATTACCCAGAGTGGCGATGAGGGGGATCCCGCAGTGTAGGCCCAATCAGGTAGCTAAAATAATGTTACCATGTTTAAAACCTTTTACAAAACATTTTCACTATTAACGGACCACTTTGAATAAGCCAATTACTATGTCCAACCAATTACAGTTGGTGGAAGAAAGTTAAGTAATAAATATAACGAAGTTTTTTAAAACACTTAACAAAAGCAGTTACAAATAATGGCCAGGACAAAGCCATGGCAACATTTGAATACACCACATGGCTGCTCTGTTTAAGTGTGGTGGACTTATATTGGAATGCTATTTATTTATAAAATGGTTGGTGGTGGGTGTCCTTACAAATTAAAAACTGTCTTTCAATCAAATTCCGCACAAACTGCATTTGTTTTTAGAAGGTAGCTCAAGGATCCATTTTTGCTACCTTCCTATTCCAGTATCTAACCAGCTCGATGGTACCATTAAAATGTAAAATCATCTGATCCAAGTATGTACGACGATATAACAATTGGAAGTGATTGTTATTTAGATTCTTAGATGTTACTACATAGTTTTTCAAACGTGGACCGACCCATTATAACAGGAGTTAGGACACCTGCACGTCGATTCTATAAAATTTGTTTGATTTTGAATCTTGTTCGAGTGCGAAGTGAGTGTCGAAGTGACGGGGTTATTAAATTTTAGAATGCCACTTTTAGCGTCATCTTATAGTTTATCTATCAAAATGTTGCTGTCAATTTAGTTCAACTCGCAAGTGTAGCGCTAGTGTACTACTACTCTCAGCGGATTCAGATTCGAAGTTTAGAATGAAGTCACAGAACCACACCCCTGGTATTTTTAAATGCATATTATATATGTATACCTTTAAATCGTGGTATTTCGAGACACAATAAAAGAACAATTGGTGTGTTCGTAGGGTTTGATGAATTAAGACAAAAGAAAGCCCATGCTAGTCACACGGATTTGCAACTTATCTTTGCGCACGTTACAATGGATTTCGGATGCACTGATAAGTAAGCAAATAAGGCAAAGGGATTTTAGACAACCAGCTTTGTGTCATAGCGTTAGGTGTATATTGATAAATGATCCTTCGATAGAAAGACAGGGAAGAAGTTTAGACAGTGTTGCTCGGTGCGTTGTGGTGGTACGGTTGTGCGGTGACTAGGAGATTCTAACGACTTAACGCTGTATTATTTGTTACTGGATTACTCGCTTAGAGTCTACGCGTGGTATCATTGCCTACAGTGTTAGCTGTGTTTGTCGTATCACGTGTTAAGTCTGCGTGAACCTTAAATCATTTAGAGAAACTGTGTAAGTGATTGATGTTATACTAGTATACGAGCCAGATTTACATCTACATGTTTCAAAATACATGTCACACTTGATATTACAGAAAAATCGTTATCGTAGTTGTACTGTAATGATCAATCATGGTTTATTGTTTTCGATAAATTGCTATCACCAACAGAAATGTCATAAGGCGTTTAACACGAATTAGTTTTATTTTATGGTTTCTTCTTAACAATCATGCCTTAAATAAAATAAACAATGCCTAAACAATCTATATGTTAAGACTTTCCCCAATATTTTCAATAATTTATTTCATTGGCGACCCTTCTTCACAGAAGATGACTGTAAGTTTTAACTTGACTCCTCAGACTCCTTTGACTCCACATTTTCTTTTCTTATTACTATGGTACCGGTTCGTTACAATCTGTTATTTGTTTCTGCACCTCCAGTTCCGTGACTTTTTTGAACAGCTGGCCTTACTACATTCTAACATTAGTTTTTGTATGATTCTTATATGGGATGATCTGTTATGGATATATGTGTTTACTGTTTCAATTGTTCAAGTGTTTGAACAAAACACTTTTCCGTTTTTGATTATTTTCTCTAATTATTCGAGATTACCAATATTAGCAAGATGATATCTACAAGGTCTTCTTTATCTAAGGTGGTTTTATCTTCCATCTATATTTATAGCAAGTTGACCCCAATTCATCTTTCGGAATAAATTCTAGACTACTGCTCAGAAACAGGTTAGGTCACACTAGATCCTCTGCCTGTCATAGTTTTGATGAGTTTTATGTAATTTTTAGCTAAACGACAGTGAGGACTTAACGATTCTCGCCCTAAATATTTTCGATCCTAATGCTGCCAGAAGTATCAGATTCGTTAGATCTTCGAGACGATACGTTACTGAGAAACTTGGATCTTAAGTGTGTGCGGTCGCTGAATGGTGTCAGAGTGACGGACAAGATTCTGCGAACCGTGCCTAATATCAGCAACTTTAGGCTCACATTACGCGCCATCATATTCTGGGCTAAAAGTAAGTGTTCAAATATAATAAATACAATGTTTCTCAAATTATAGCTTTCTATATCATACTGTAACAAATTCAATTTCAGAAATATTAATTAAATGAATTTGTTGCATGGACAGGTCGCGGTATTTACTCCAGGACGTTTGGTTACTTGGACGATGTATCGTTGACCATTCTGGTGGCCTACACGTGCCAACTGTACCCCAATGTCCTGCCGGCCATATTAGTTCACAAGTTTTTTCATACGTTCAATAAATGGAAGTGGCCACAACCAGTTCGGCTGAAGAGCTTTAAATCTGCAGACCTTGGTTTCCCTGGTACCTATAGTGAGTATTCTTCTGTATTAGAACTGGATGATTTTCGAAAAAAAAAAAAAAATTTTGTAGACTTATTAACAGCAAATATTGTTTATTAATATTAGAAACAATCTAAAGTTGTAAGATCTTCAAAAGCAGAAAAAACATTAAATATCAAATGGGAACGCACTGGTACCGTTATGTGCGTAGGGGCGCCGTCGTGCTGGAACCAGATCATCGATAAGTGCGCGAGTAGTCGATCACACAGAGCTTCCCATTCCACCTCCATCTCGTCACGAAGGATCTCCAGCTCTGTTTTGAGGTCACCATGGAGGACTTCGGGATAGCGCGGTCCGTCCATGTGCTCGGGAAGAAAAACAGGCTCCTGGATTTCATTGCCAAAAATTCCTGCCCAGACGTTTATCGACCAACGCGTTTGATGTCCGGACTCTTGGATCTCGAAGGGGTTAATATGCGACCAATGATAGGCATTTAGGTGATTCCACATACCATTTCGCGTAAAAGTTAACTCATCGGTCCATATCACGTGGGATATAAAATTTGGATTAAGTTGTTGTTTAGTCCGCAGCCATCGGCAGTGCCGTGCGGTGTCCATTTTATACGCGAAAATTGTGGAAGGGACGACGAGAGCAGATTTGCTGCATATTTGTTGGTCTCATCGACGATGAGGTTGATTATGTCTTCGTCCCAAATTTTCGAAAAAATTTGGTACGAAGACATACCCTCCAAACACTTGGGGATCGTGAGACAAATCTTGGTCTCCCTTCAACATAATTACCCCACTCGATGGGGTAAAAACTAACTGATTTTCCCTGTGAAATAACATATATATTTATTCGAATTCGAATGTTTCAAATATGTCAGAGATTAAGTTCAAACTTACTTTGATGGAGACGGCGTAGTGGCACCTTCTTCCACGACCTCAAACCTCGAAGGTCCACTTGCGTCCAGCGCTGGATAGAAAAGTATTAAAATATATTAGGTTGGATCAGTCAATAAGGGGTACGATATTCGGCAGACAATTTACACAGCTGACTTCTACGATTCCCATTTTGTGGAATACACGGGGGCGGCACTTCTGGGGTGCCCGGCACCAAAAGGCACGGCACTCGAACCGGCGACAGTTTTCTGGAAATATAATATAATTAAAACATTTGTGACTGTTAAAAGCATATTATTTTCCTAAATATTTTTCTTACCTTCTATTTTTACTAGGAGGAGCATCGGGCATTAAAAATTGCCCGACCTCCTTCCTGCTCCGTAGCTCTTGAAGCCGTGCCCTTTGCTCTGCTGGTAATCGGGCCATGTTTTTCTTATCCAGAGCCCGCATTTTTTTTTTTCATTCTTCTTCTATTGATCTAGAAGAAGAAAAAAACACAGTGTGTAATTCATTAAGCACCGCGCCGCTTCTATTGTCTTTCTATTGTTTCACTAATGACGATATTGAAAGAGTACAGTTGTTACATTTTAAATAAATGTTTACATACGTTATCGGTCGCGACGGACCAGCAGTACTTATGGACAGATCGGTGACATTGTCAATTTGCATAGAAAAACGAAATTGAATGAAAAGAAAGTACATTTCTAACATTTCTTTAGAGTAAAAAATAATTAAAAAAAAATAATGTTGTCGGTTGCGATGGCCCCGCAATAGCAAAGGACGCAGACGAGACGCTGTCTGCATTCGACTGTCCCCTTAAAAGTTAAGTAACATTTTGGGTATGGCTCTAAAGTAACCTAGCAAAGCAAGAAAATATCCGTAACCAATATATTACTAAAAGAAAACAAAAAGTACAAAAAGAAACACAAACATTGCAAAATGAAGCGATCGGGCAAGGCCGCGTCCACGCCCAAGCCCGCGCCCACGTCTGCCTACTGGATCACCACCACCATGGTTTCCCGCTCGACCACCACCACCACGGTTTCCCGCTCGACCACCACCACAACCGTTATTTTTTGCAGCTTCCATTTCTAAATTATTAAAACTAAAGTAAAACTCAATAAAATAAAACAAATATTACGGTATAAAAACTCAAATAAACATTCAATGAAAATTCGTTCAATACCTTTTTAAAGATACTAACTATGAAAAAAATAATTTCATTTCATAAATTTTCATTCCCTGTGTATACTAAGCTTTATCTATCATAGCAGGTGGGCGGCCATTTTGTTTGTTTAAATTTTTTGTTTGGCGGACCAACTTGAAATAGTAAATCTAATCTTAATATAAATTTTGTACTATTTGTAAATTTTTTGACTGAGAACTATTATCGATAGTTATTGCTTTTTACACAGAACTGGTCTCCCAATTTAATAAATTACGACAGCATTCTGACAAAATTCTAGCACTGTTCAAATTCAAATTCAAATTCAAATTCAAATTCAAATTCAAATTCTTTATTTGCATGTTAAGGTGGGTACAAGGATCTTAAATTTAAATAACAGGCACAGCTTAACGGCCTTTTTCAGGCGTTGCAAGAGGGCTATAGCTTATAAAATAATATAAAATTACTTAATTTACATTACATTGCATAAAAGAGAAAAAAATAAACAAAATAGTTCATAATTAGATAAATAAAAAAAAAATAAAAAAAGTTGTTATTGAGTGAGTTAGTAGGTAGGTGTTTATGTGTATATGAGGTGGGTTTTTACATTAATGTTGGTGTTCTATTTTCCTTCGAAGAATTCTTTGGTTGAGTAGAAACATTTTTGTATTAAGAACTTTTTTAATTTCCTCTCAAATATTATTTCTTTCCTTTCGTTTTGTAGGTCTTTCGGTAATCCATTGAATATTTTGACTGCCATGTAGTAAGGACTTTGGTTAAGCATTTTAATTCTAGATGGTGGTAGGTACAGTCTGTTTTTATGTCGGGTATTAACATTATGGGTGTCTTTTACTTTAGTAAAGTTATCTTTATTTTTAAATACAAACTTGCATATGTCATAAATATATATTGATGGTAGTGTTAGAATATTGTATTTAATAAAATAGGGTCTGCAGCTATCTTGATTATCTATTTGTGCTATGATTCGTACGCATTTTTTTTGTAATAAGAATAGGTCGTGAAAGTTAACACTGTCGCCCCACAGCATTATGCCGTATCTCAACCAGGAGGACGCATATGCGAAGTAAGCTGACAGTGCCGTCTCGATATTAGTACTGCATTTAATTTGGAAAAGAGCGTATGTGAATTTTGACAATTTCGATTTTATGTGTTCTATGTGGGCTTTCCAATTTATATGAGTGTCTATGTTTATTCCGAGTAGGTTAAATGTGTCTACGTTTTGTAATGTAATATTTCTAAAAGAGGTGTCTATTTTTAGTGGGGCTGTTTGGTAAGATCTAAATTGCATTGTTTTTGTTTTAGTATAGTTTATCTCTAAGTTGTGGTCGTTAAGCCATCGTGTTACTGATTCCAAGGTTTCTTGCAAAATAGGTGAAGGTAATTCTGATTTATTATATTTTATTAAAATAGATATATCATCTGCAAATAGCACTGGTAGGGTTAGATCTTTATTTAGACTTTTAGGTAGATCATTGATATAAATTAAAAATAATACACATCCAAGGACACTACCTTGTGGTATTGAACAAGTTATTTTTATTTCTTGTGATCGAGTTGTTTTTATTTCATTTGTTTTTGTGTCATAGTTTTATATTTGGACTATTTGGGATCTGTTTTGCAGGTAAGATTTAAACCAGGAGTGCGCCGGACCACGAATGCCCGAGCCATGTAGTTTGTCAAGAAGTATGTTATATAGTACCTTGTCATAAGGCTTTGTCATGTCAAGTAGGACGCCAATTACATACTTCTTGTCATTAATATGCTGTAGGGCGGTTTGCACATATTTATAAACAGCTAGTGTTGTGGATCTTGAGCGTCTGAATCCGTTTTGGGAGTCATCTAGGATTTTGAATTTTTCTAAAAAGTTGTATAGGCGGTTACACATTGCTTTTTCGAATATTTTGGAAAATGTGGGTAATAGGGCTATGGGTCTGTAGTTACTGGGAGTGTCTGTGTCGCCTTTTTTGTGAATGGGCTTGACTAAAGAAATTTTTAAAGCGTCGGGAAATTGGCCATTTTGAAAACTTTGATTAATTAAATATTTAAGGGGGATAGACAATTCTTCTGCGCATTGTTTTAATAGGATTGGAGGGATATCGTCCACTCCGCAGCTATGTTTGTTTTTAATTGAGCAAATTATGTTTATAATCTCCTTCCGGTCGACAGGACGAAGGTACATTGAACACTCGGGCGAGTCGACTACTGGTCTACCTTTTTTGTTGTGCTTTTGGTTTGTATCACTGGGGTTTGCACCAACACTTGTGAAATATTCGTTAAATATGTTTGAGATTGCTTCTGGGCAATTTATCGTTTGGTTATTGTATGTCAGTGATATATTTTTACCGATTTTTTTAGGGGCTTTTTTGTTTTTTGTTTAATTATATTCCACATTGTTCTTGTTTTGTTGTCTGATTTCTGCATTTGTTTGACGTAATCGAGTTTTTTAGATATTTTTATGGTGCGCTTAAGTGTTTGGCTGTATTTTTTATAATATTTTTGTATAACTTCGCTTTTTGTGTCGTTTAATATTATTTTTAGCATTCTTTTATGGACGCATGATTTTTTGAGGGCTGGTGTAAGCCAATGTTTTTTCGGTTTCGTTTTTATTTTTATTTTTTGGATTGGTATGTGATCGTTTAACAATTGTGTAATTATATTTATAAATGAATTATAATCAATATTAAGATCTGCATTTTGATCGAATAGTTCGTGCCATTTTTTATCTTTTAGCGAATTTTTAAAATTTGTTATTTTATTTTTAGTGAATATTCTTTTTCTGGCTATCCAAGTTTTATCATTGTTGTGTATATTTTTTGTATTTATTTTTATATTTATCGCCTTGTGGTCTGAAAGGCCATAGTCTTGAACATAAGTATTAGTTATGATAGGTGTGTAGTTGGTGAACAGTAAGTCTATGCATGTAGATGACGTTTTTGTCACTCTAGTAGGTTCTGTAATTAATTGTTTAAGATTGTGTGAATTCATTAAGTTTATAAGTTCTTTAGATTCTCTATTTTTGTTTAAAATGTTTATATTAAAATCACCTCCTATAATAATAAATTTACTTAGATTCTTAGTGTTCAATTTATATAAAACTTTTTCCATTTGCGAATAAAATATATCAAAGTTACGATCAGCTCTATATAATCCTATTATAATACAATTCAACTTTGGTATTTCTATAGCACTAATTTCTATAATATATTCTTTAGAGTAGTTATTAATGTCTTTTCTTTCTATATAATTTATTGTATCTTTGACAATCGCGCATACTCCTCCGCCGTCATGTGTTTTACGGCAAAAGGTAGATGCTAATTTATAATCCGGTAGTAAAATAGAATCACAGAAGTCCTTATTTTTCCATAGTTCTGACAATAATAATATATCAATATTATATTCTAATATAACTTGTTCAACTAAATCTAACTTATTACCTATACTTTGGATATTTTGAAAAGTTACATTTACATCAATATCGAAATGTCCGGTTCCGTGGTGTGTTCCTTTGCATCGACACAGATGGGGCTGCGGGCGCCGGCGTAACTTCTTGTGTGTTGTTGGTCATCGTTTCGTAGTGGATTGTTGGGTTCGTCGTCGTATCATAGTTTTTGTTGTCGATAGGTGGCTCGTGTGTTGTGTTTAATAACGGCGCTGGGTCTGTTATATATTCCTTTCTGTTAATATAAAGTTTATTGTTTTTGATAATGGCGTGTTTACCGCTCCTCCTTGCTTTGCGTAGTGCTTCCCTGAGTTCGTTTCGCTGCTGTAAGGTTTGAGGATCCATAAATGGTCCTACTCCTAATCCAGTATTGTGGAAATCTCTTGCATTTTCTGTGATATATTTTGACATTCTTTTATTCATTAGTTCAATTGCTAGTGGTCTTCTATCTCCTCTCTTTCCAATGCGCTTTACTTCTTCTATGTAGGGGTTGATATTAATGTTCATTACTTCATGGAACACTCTAGAGACACGGTCTATTAGTTCATATTCGGTTTCCCGGTGGCTTTCTGTGAGTCCATAAAGTACTATTTTGTTTGAATTCTTCAATTGGTATAGTTGTTTCTCAATATTCTCTATGTTTTGGTCGATTGTTGTAATTTGTTTTTTTATTATTTCCTGTTCATTAGTTAGGTTGGTTGTGATTTGGTCTACCTGGTTTTGAAGTTTAATTGTAGCATTATTAAGCTCGATTTGGATTGCATTTTTAATATCTTCAATAATAGATGTTTTAATTTTTCTAGTTTAGAGTCTAACAGGAGGCTGATCTGTTACAAGTACACTGAAAACCACACATAGGAAATAGAAATATCCTAAATAACCCTCAGGTTGAAATTCGGTTACACACACAAAGAGTACATGCTAATTGTCTAATAAAACCGTAATTACGACAATAATACTCACACTCAATTGAAATATAAATAAAATTAGCACGAAATAACACCCGCCAAACGCGCGAAAACCAACAACTGACTTTGACATTATTTTTTAAATCCGAATGAACCACGGCTGTACTACTGTCGTATTTTTAGCATGAAGAAATGTATTAAGATTCGAGTAGAAAAGAGAAAAAGTATTAAAAGAGCGTGTGATAGAAAGAAATAAATATATTTTGATGTCGTGTCGCACTGGAACGGAAACGAGTCCGATGAACTACATTGAACTGTAGTTGGCAATGATTTCACCCTGGAGAGATATATTTAGTTGGAACTTCTTTAAAAATCGAACTGATTTCAAATTTGCAAAAATAAAAGGGTGCTAAAAGGGGCTAAATGAATAATTAATGTGATATTTGTTCGCTACATCAAGTAGACAGTTAATGTGGCAATTACAAATTATTTACATTTTCATCCTCCTCTAACTCAAAATTTATAAATTTATAGACGATGCCGAAGTAATAGTCTGTAATGTGTGTAATAACATAACTGGTAGACTGGTTAAAATTTACAGTCCACTGTTATTTATCACATTCGTTCAGAAAAAAAACAAATTAAGCATAAGTCAGAATGATACTTATAAATGAATGTTAAATTTCTCATGTTGCAATTGAGGTTACCGAAATCACAATCCTCCTCACTCATCGCAAATCTCCAAAACTCGAACCCCACTGCAACGAAAATAGAACACTGGCAACGAACGAAAATAAAATATTAATTGAACGAATGTCGAAAAAGACATTAAGAATATAATATATCTTTAGTCTTTATAAAATATGCCACTTACGTACTAACTTCAGTAGTTTGTTTTCGACGAGCTCTCTCCCCTGTAGCTGGTCCTCCGGGCTAACGAAGGAGCCCATTACTACTAAGTAGTACTTGTACTGGAAGAAAAACTGTACTCTCAAATAAATGATCATCCCACCCATCCATCCACATTTGTTAACCAGAATATCAGCCGTTGCCGTCAGGCCTGTAAAGTTATTAAAATCCTTTTTATCACCAGTTTCATTGTTAATCGAAAATAATACTGAATTTTGCGTTACTTTTGGTGCTGACACACGTGGCATATTAAGTGTGCAATGACTGATATCGTGCTTACTGATTTTTATTTCCTCCATGACTATGGTCCTTTTAGAGTTGGACATGTTGAATGTGGAGGTTTGCTCCGGATACAGTGGGGTTATAATTCGCAACGATTTGAAAAAGTGCGATACGTCCACCTGAAATAAAATTTCATGTTATTGTATAACGAACTGATTATTATTCATCATGTCTTTCAAAAGGCTTAAACAAATCACTTCTAAAGAATAAACTCACACTCCTATCAAAAAAATAGGAAAAACAAAACAATACTCACTGTTAGGTTCTAAAAAGGAAACATGGTGACAGACTTGGTATTCTTTAAACGTGCGAGTTATGGCCACACCCATTGCGCTAAAACACAAAAGAATCAAGTGATGAAGTGATCAAGTGTGAACCAAGGTGGACGGTAGGGAGTCAGGGTACAGCTGACACGTATACGCCACCAACATAGCCAACGACACGTCGTCCAGGAATCCAAGTGTGTTGGAGAACTCCGCGACCCCTCCACACAATTAATTATATTACATCAAAAATTCAAAGCTCATGTTACAAGTTTACACATCACAACAGCTTAAGAGTTTATGGAAGCAATGCCAAAATAAACACGGATTGAGAAATTAAAAAAAGGCCTTTATTTAATTGATGGTTGACTTGATGAAAAAGAATCAATCGAATCAGTCCTCGGTACAGGATAGAACTACAATGTGAATGTTTTGACGTGTTGCATTAAGAAGGTGACAATTGAAGGGAAGATAGTTTTTGTTCTTTTTTAGATTTTTAGATACGTACGTTTAGCCCAAAGTTTGACGGCGCACAGAGTGCCCCTGAAGTAGTTGACGTTGGGCACAAGGCGCAGGATCTCCTCCGTGACTCGGTAGGAGTTTACCGAGCGCACACACTTGTTGTAGTCCATGTTATTGAGCAGCGTATCGTCCCGCAGGTTCAAAGAAACTACAAACAAACACACGTTGTACATTTTTGACCCGACTACAACACAAAGCTGTGATCAGCCACCGAGAGACGAGCAGCAGATCCGCATATAAACTCTCAAGCATCGAAATGGTGTTATAACTTAAACTTGGTAATATGCTTTTACTTTCTTAAACAGAATATCTAGACGGTCTACAGGGCCGTAAAAAATATTAATAACTAGCTTTAGCCTGGGACACCGTTCGCGTGGAATTGTGACTGCCTGTAGATTCTAAGAATAAAAACTAAGTTATGTCCTTTCTCGAGTTCCAAACTATGTCTGTGAAAATTTCACAGAAATCGAAGTGAAGAAAAATCAGACAGACAGACAGAGTTACTTACGCTTTTATAATATTAGTTTGGATATCATCTATTTTTACTAAAATGTATATCAATATGAATGGACTGTTTGACGACAATGGTTTTGTCTTACCTGCAATTTTAGGGAGATCCAGACTTGCAAACAGGAGGTTAATCCTTATTTGACTAAAGGTCATCTTGATGATTGGAACGTAACCGTTTTCCAACGCTCGCAGTTCAGCCACCTGCACAAAGAGACAATAAGTTAGTTAGAACCAACACTTGTCAGTACGTTACCCTTGTTGATATATTCACTCTACTGGCAAAATAGTCAAACAATCTTAGACCAGTGGTACTAACCTGTGGATGAACCTTTAGCAATTCATACAAAGAAGTGAAAAAGTCACTCCTTTGTATGTGTCGCGGGGCAACGCATAATAAGTCGATTTTAGCAAATCTTGAGTGGACCTGTTAAACAATAGATTTGTATTGGTGCGTTAATTTAAAATCAAAAATAAAATACCTATGTGGTAAACTAAGAATAGGTCTAAAATAATATTTAAACAAAAGAAAGAAATTTAAATAACCAAAAATTTAAGGACCGAAAGAGGATGTCCGTATAATAAAATATACAACGTGAACACAATTTGTATACATTATTCAAATAAGTTATTTCACTTACTCGCAGCCTGTAGGATCCAAATGGACATATGTGTCCACCTGCAGAATGGGCCACATAAGCAGGTAGACCCTTCTTTAAGGATTGCTCCTTGATCCACTGTTCAGTAGGTGCAGGGCACTGAGCTATTCCACCCGACGATTTGCTTCTGACTTCGACTCGTACACTGCGAAAGGGATCATAAATTGTTTGAACTCTATTGTCTTATCTTCGGCCACTAATGATGGACCTGCAAGCGTAATGTAAGTTGTTTTATTAATTCGTGTTTATTTATTATTTACTAAATTCGGTTTCTGGTCACGGTTTAAAGACGTCATAATATTATGAATTACGATTTTGAAAGTAAATAAATCACACAACGACTGCACATCATACATCCTTTAGTAAAGAAAACGAATAAGTTTTGACAGAGGTCACGTTATGATATATATGACAAACAAATTGAAATATAGACTTGTCACACGAGCGTAAATGATTTATATATTTTTTGTTAGGGGAAAAGGGTCAGATTACTTCTCCCGCCCTGGGTCAGGCGAGACTGTCAGACTCTTACTGACTAAAAATCCCCCGTTCCTTCTCCAGTTTTGGGCCGAGGCCGCGTTGCCACATTGCGCTTACCCCGCCCTTGGCTGAACATCAGCCCTGTGGCTCTATGAGGCGCGCGCGGAACGCTACGCGCCGTTCGTTCTTGTATGGTTGTGGTCGGGCGGTAAGCTAACCTTATTTTCCGTCCGCAGACCTGTACTTTCGGTGACCGGAGATCATCTCTTGAGCGTGAAAGGTTACAGTTAAATATCTGTTTCGATAACGTTTTTCCCTAGCAGAAATATAATGCTCTCTTTTATTTATATATCTTTTACTTCTTTGATAAATGGACTAAAATTGAAAATAAATATACATAATACGCTCTTTTACACTCAAATATGGATTTCATATTGCAGCTAAAAAAATAATTTATTATGATTCCCTTAAATACTTTGTCTGAAGTTTGCACCAAGCAGGATGTTTACATAGAATCTATTACTTACCGACTAGTCTCAGCGATTCAGGACACTTAACACTTGACACGACACACACAGCAAGCACTAAGTACAAACTCCACTCGTATGGCTCTAGGCGAGTGACAGATAACTTAGCGTCACGTCGTTAAAGAGTCCTAGTCACAACTGTACACTATCACGCTCCGAGGAACACTTCTTCCTTCTTTCTTCTAAGTTCCTTCCTTGCCCTTACAAGAAAGCTTTGTTTATTAATATTTACAAACTTTTACACGATACCGCCCATTGACTCTTTCGTATAAAATCTCTTTGTCTTAATTTCTATCTTGTCAGTGCACCCAAACCCATTGAATTTGCGGTATTACTAATTTGTGTGACCTGCAATACAACTACTGACCATTCTTTTGTTAAAAATATGTTGTGCTATCTTAAAATATACTTAAAAAATACCAGGTGTCCTCTATTGTACTTTTTTCAAACCAGGAAATATTAAAAAGACTTTCATGTGTTGCATCTATTTGGGTCCAGCCTTAATCTAAATTTATTTATTATATGTATTTAGTTAATAGATGGGTTAAGTTTATAAAGGATAAACTTCTTATTCTACTATTAAAACTTTTTAGTAATTTTGTGCGAGGGAGAAACGCATCTACCAGTGTGATACCACAGCACAGAACATAAATACCCTAACGGGAAGAAATACAACTTCATACAAATATATTGCCTACACCAGAGCGCACTAGCGCTCCAGTTTATGCCATGAGAAACTCGTGAGGCGCGGGAATTATGAATGGATTATTTAGTATTGTATCCCTAGTAATCCATAACTTAAATAAACTGCAAAATAAGAATTCATTATTCTCATTTTGCAGTATAATTAACGATTATGCATTATGTATTACTTAGTTTACTAAACTAAAAAAAAAAACAAAGTTGTTAAGCATGTTTCAGTATATTTATTTTCTTTTTCATAGCTTTTTTGGAGGCTTCTTCAATAAACTCCTGGTTTTTCAATTTGCAAACCGTTTCAGTTATATAGCAATTGTGCTACTTATATATTTTTTTTACATTTACACTATAATGATCCTCACACCTCTTCAGCCAATCCCTGTTAATATTTTCACAAGCTTGATATAAATTTATTTTAATATTTTTTTTGTGAGAATTTTCTTTTTAGTAATTGTTTATGTTTTTTGCAGCACTCTCTACCAATTCACAGAAACTGTACTGGACGTAGTTTAGACTGCTTCTAGTTTCATTGTATTCCTTAAACGCTGTAAAGGTATGACATATCTCAGTGTTTTGATCCGCAACCATGATGTTTTTGCATATAGTGCAATCAACTGCCATATTTTTAAAAATGAATCCGCAAACTTAAGCACATTCTTGCGTTTCACCAGAACACTGAGATATGTCAATGTCTTCTACACCCTCTACATTTTTATCTTGAGAGGATGTAGAAGTAGTGGTAGAATTAGTGACACTTTTTGGTTCCAGGAATATTTTAAAATTGTTCAGCAAGTCATTATCATCATCCAGACAGTTTCTGTTTTTGTTTTTATTCAATAAATTTGATAAGATTCCGGTTTTAAGTGGTGCAATAAATTGGACTGATGTGGGGTTCGGATTACATCCACAATTGCTTCTTATGCATCCAAAAGAAATTTTCTAGCGGATCTTGATTAAGCCTCCTTACAGATAATGTTCTTATATCAAATTTATTGCTTAAATTTTTAAAAATCCTTTCGATCGCATTTAGTGATCGCAACCAGCCCTCTTGAGACGGGGGCTTACTTCTTGCCCTAAAAATTTCATTTCTTTAAAAAAAGATTTCATTTTTAAGAAATACATTATATGAGGACTGGTTAAGGTCATGTTGGTCAGAAACTCCTTCCCTCTTTTTCTATCTGGAGTATCTCCATTCACAGCATCAAATAATTTGTCCAAATTTGATAGTACTATAGATGTTGCAACAGCTTCTTGGGAATCATCTTCATCTGGAAAAGTAAATAAACATCTTAAAATATAAATTCTAGAATCATAACAATCAACAATTACATGACTTGAGCAGACATGTTTCCGCATTATAGATGATAATAATATCATGCTATCTAAGTTAGCGAAAGTGTGTGAGTAAGTAAGAGTCTACTGCTGGTATTGGTGGAAAGGGGATTAATAATGCATGTCTTGAAACTTACTCATGGCTACTCTAGCAAGTATTCCTGCTGCAACCGAATGGCTTAATACTTGAGCTGCTAAACAGACCTTCATTTTCTGTTTGCCATTCGGATGCAAGTGTTGCCGTGTCAACCCTGGGGCAAACACAAAGGTTGGAGACAGTTGATCTTTTTCAAAAAAATCTTCAATATTGCTCCATTTTGCTAAGCCTGCAATAAGATTTAAATCAATTAATTATAATGATCTTAGATAACGCGTCATCGCCGAAAACTTTAAAAATGTTTATTTGTATTGAAAAAACTTTGCCCCACACTAGGAATTCCTCCTATATCGTGGGTGCGTTAAATTCACATACACACAGCCAGACACGGAACAACTACTTGTAGGTCATACAAATATTTGTTCCATGCAGGATTCGAACCCGCCACACGCAGTGCAGCAGTTGATCGCACGGCCCCTGCATACACTTTACTGAGCACTGGCAACTACTTTTTATTTATTTTGTAAATCGCCATCATATTTTAATGCTTAACAGGGTTTATCGCGTATGAGTGGTAACGTCGTAATCTAGTGTTATATTTCGTGGATTTAAAAATGTTTTCCCGTAACTCATACGCGATAAGCCCTCTTAATGTACGTACCTTGCTGTCGTATTCCATCAATTTGTATGTCTTGTTCAAATTGAATATTGTGTTTTAAAAAAATATTTCTAAAGCATTTCAACAGATGGGGCGGGTCCAGGATTGTAATAACTTCACGTCCCTCAAAGTTAAAATATGGTTGATCCGTCGATGACCCCAAAGAATTTATGGCACGTATATTGACACCATCAAGATCACACACAGTGCCGACGACTTCCAATCCAGTATCAAAGCAAGCTCTCAAGACCTGTAAAATTAATTAAGATATATTGATTTTTACATACTTCGTTAAAAAGAATATTAAAGAAAAAAGGGTAGGCAAAAATCCACGTCATAGAATGCACTTAAAAGGTTTGCTTATCGTCATAATATGTTTTAATTTGTATATATTATGTGCTACTAGCTTATGCCCGCGGCTTTGCTCACGCCCAGTAGATTTCCTGAGTTTTAATTTCATTATGCAGAATCCTAATTATTTTTTCTGAAATAAAAGTAGCCTTAGTTATATATATCTTTATAACAGCAGCTATCTACCAGTAAAAACCCCGTCAAAATCAGTCCAGCCATTTCAGAGTTTATCAGGAACAAACTGTCATTTTTTTTAAATACCTATGTTTCTTTTTGTTAGAACTAGTATGATTGAAATTACAAACAGACACTTCTTTTATTTTTAGCTTTATAATAAATAGTTGTGTGTAGCCGGTCATTTTAAAAAGGTTACAACTTACCTCCTTAATAAGCACAGCTAATCTATCTGCTGTGACAGAATCGCCAGAAAAGTAAAAGGCTATTGATTACTTCCAATTTTTCCGAAGCCCATAAAAGTTAGAGCATGACTGGCTATTTGGGATGTCCGACCTTGAAGGGCATGATCCTGGTAACCATCTATCTGGTCAAGTTTAGCGTTGTAAGTCAAGTTTTTTCTTATTGACATTTCATCAAATGCCAATACACATAAATTTTCACTTATTTCTCTTTTTTCTGTTATTTGCTTGATTGTTTCAATCACCTGTTCATTTATACCACAAACCATAGGTATGTGGTTCAACAAAGCCTTTAGTGAGCTCACACTAGGCAAACAAAATAACCTTCACAATAATCTATAACAGGCACTTGATTTTTTATAGATGCCTAAGGTTTATCAACTTTATCGTCTAATGTCCATCTCCGGCCAGTTATCTTCCTTGGCACATTTTTTAACTGGCTTTGCAGTAGCAAAGAAAATGAGCTGCTAATTTTGCTGTTTATCATATCATGTGAATGATGAATCTTCACTAGATAGAGAACTCAATAATGACCTTTTAATTTTTTTCACTTTTTTCAACTTCCTTCGAAGTCTCATTATATCATTAATATTTTTTCTACATCTTGTATACAGCTTCTGTTTCTTTGGAGTGAGTTCATTTAATTTTTTGACATCAAGGTCCATTAAAATATCTTTTTTCTGTGATTCCTGAAAACATCCAATTAATAATTTCAATGAACTGTGATTCACAATTCATGTTCTACTCACATAGTATAAGTAAATACATAAAATAACATATTTTTGCACACGAAATTTGGTTAACTAAATTGGTTTAAAGCCGTAGTAGTAGAATTTAATTTTTGTAAGGGTTAAACCAACTTTTAAAAAAGATCACTCAATCTACACGCTCATCAAATTTCGGCTTTCACTGATGATAATTATATTTTAAGCACTACTTGTATTAATGAATGATAATGCATAACACTGATTATGACAAGTTCAAGAAATTACCTTGGCCAAGACTGGGCTTTCAGGATGAGAATGATGCTGAATATTTGAGTGTTCAATGGACATGGAATACTGAGATGTACTGGGTATTGCTTCAATTTGTGTTCCAACTGTTGACTTTGGACGCTGAAACACATACAACTTCATTACCATATCTTACAATAAATGTATTTATGTTTGAAATAAATATGCCTATGTTACCCTATTCACTAGAATATTTATTATATCCTATTAGGATATAACAAATATTCGGATGTCGTGGTGGCCCGGAGGTTAAGGATCCCGCTTCTCATGCATGAGGGTGTGGGTTCGAAACCTGGCAAGTACCAATGTGACTTTTCCCGAGTTATACGTACTTTCTATGATTATTTAGACACCACTGACATACGGTGTAGGTAAACATCGTGAGGAAACCTGGACTTATAATTTCTAATTGTAAGTTTGAAATCGTCAACACGCATTGAGCAAGCGTGGTGATTAATGCTCAAACCTTCTCCGTGTGAGAAGAGGCCTGTGCTCAGCAGTGGGCATTTATAGGCTGATGATGATGATGATGATGATGAACAGGATACATTTATATTGGTATAAGCAGGACCCGGGAAAGTTCTTAAACAGCAACCAGCCACCAAGGGACGGGCAGCAGAATCCTTAAATTGTCAGTAACCTAACTGCGATCCCCAAGCCGTCTGCAAAGAGTGGGGATTATGGCAACCCCCCCAACCCCTTTAAGGAGGAGTCCTTTGTTCAGCAGTGGACGTCTTCCGGCTGATAATGATGATGATATAAGCAGTGGAGCAATGGACACATCTGTCCCACTGCTCATACTTGTTACTGTATAAAATTTGTAACTTGTTTGACTTTATATGTATTACATTGTACTGCAACAATAAAATAAAGTACTCACTTTAGTTTCTTGTGCTTCTCATGGTGAAGTACACTGAAGACCATCTCGCAACTGGGCCAATATAGTTTGAGCTTCAGTAGGAATAGCAACCTTATTCAGTCTTTTTCTGTCAATGCTGGTAAATGATGAATTATCAAAATGTTTACCACATAGCATCTTGTGCTGTGCATAGAGCTTTTGTAATGACTCATTGGAAGTCCACTTATCATTGGGATAACAAAATTTGGCCCAAACATGAGCCCTGAAACAAAAAGATACACATTATTTCATCTAAATAATATTTTCAAGCTTATAATGTTGTGCCATCCTATCCTTCCAAGGAATTAAAGTGTCTGTTATGATAGGTACTGTTTTGGATGGCTCAAAATCAAGAAATTCGTGTGATGATGTCGTAAAATGAGACTAAAATTAAGTGATAACTCTATAAATCTGCAAAAGAAGTATGTGTAAGGATTACAGCAGGTGGCATTCTGTAATTTCTGCCAATCCCAATTGGAAAAAAGCGTGAGTTTATCTATTTAGGTAAGCCTGTAATTTACTTACTTGAGAGACCCTTGCTGGGACGGAAGAGGAAACCTGTGGAAGCTCAAAGGAGGGTCATCCCTTGGAGTTAACCCACATTTTGGGCATTTCACACTTCCCTTTCCTGTCATGATGGGAAAATACAACACTAAAGCGTCAATATCCAAATGAGTCTCTATCTCGTAAACACAGAAAGCGTTAATATCGCACAAATGAGTCTCTATCTCGTAAACACAAAAAGCATCAATTTCGCTTTATAGAGTCAATATCTCGTTAAAGCACAAAACTATAACAAGGTAGAGCCGGCAGAAAATCAAAATAAGATTTGATATCAACCACAACAAACGAGTGTCAGATTAACGTCAGAACGAAAACCGCCATTTAAATGTGTGGCCATTTCATAAAAAAGAAAACACCCAAATAAATAAATAATTGGTTCTTCTAGTCAGAATTTTAAGACATTAAAACACGAAATAAGGATTATAAGTGGCTAATATCATTATTTTATATTTAACTAGTGAACCTTGAAATTACCACAACTAATTATCCTCAATTTGCAGCTACCGAAATTATGGGTATCTATTCAATCGGGCATATGACATCACTGATCTTGTCATCATTTTTTTTTGTAGAGCGCTATCTCGTTTTTGCAAATCGTGCCAGTGTAGGCATTAGTCGCTAAGAAAGCTGACTCCCCCTGTACCACAGCTTCACAGACAACCTATGTTAAACAATGATAACGTTGTGTTATACAATGTGAGACCGAAACTTCCGTTGGACCAATTCTCTCCCTTCTCCTAAATCCAATCTTCAATTTTAATAATCACCAATAGGTTGGCAACGCACTTGAACTCCTCTGGTTTTGCAGACGCCCATGGGCGGCTCTAATTTCTTACAAACGGAGTGCCAATGTGCTGCTACTTATAAAATGCTGGCTTCATATAGTTAAGTTTTAAAAATACTAATATGTAAATTTGATAATTTGTAACCTACTTGCAGAAATAAATATTATATTATCATTTACTACAATTTTAATACTAATATTATACAAGGTACTTCATGTTAAAACCATCTCCTTCTCAGAATAACTCTACCTGACAACCTCTGTCGGAAGGTTTATGTGTTTATGCTCCAAACCATGTGGTATGTTTATATCGTACAACGAATTTGTCTTTTCTACTTTAGTAAATGGCATTGTTTTCTGTTTGTAAAACAACTTGCTTGGAAAAATATTAGCCTTCTTTAAAAAATATTATTGTTTGCTCTTTTGTATTTGTAAGTGTGCTTTGCATAAAAAGAGTGGACACCCAGTTGTCGAAATATTCCACCCATTCTACGCCATGTTTTTACAAGACATGATTAGTAAAAAAATAAATTATGGCTGGTGTCTTTTTTGCTATACATTGACTAGTGGCCTTGTTCATCGTTACATTTTATTAAAAATTTGTCTATCGGCAATGATTAATTCCCAGTCCCAGAATTTAAATTATCTAACGTTGTTTGACAGTGTTAATACAAATGTACTTACAATGAACAAGGATAGGCCTAGAAACGGTGCCTCTCTGTATTTTATAACTCAAGAACGAGACAGGCACATTGCACAGTGCACATTGGGAGCAAATTCACAAGTTTTTTTAAAACAAACGAATGCTTTCGGCACTTTTGTTTCTAAAGATTACAGAAATTGTATACACAAGTGAAGCTTCAACAGTAAATTATTTATTTGTGTATGTGTTGTTTATTATCAGAAATAATTAGATCTGTGATTAAACATGTGTGAATGTGAAATGAAATAAATTACGTATGTGTTGTTTTTTATCAGAAACAAAGTACTAAAGACACGAAATATTTTTCTTCCGTTCATATTGCATTGATCTAAACAACAATAGACTAAAATAAAAAATCTAAATACGAAATCTTTTTGATGATACTCAATTTACATAAATTGGCTTCTCAGATTTAAGATAAACCTTTCAATCGTGGCAATCCGAAACGCTTGGGGTTTGATGAATTATTGAGGAGAGTAAAATGAAAATATTAAATTCGTGGATTTTTTTATTTAACACTATTTTTTTTTAATTGTCGTATTTGGTAATACAGTTTGTTTCCTCCCAGGGAGTCGCTCGGTTGCGTCGAGGGACACAGGAGGTGGTGAGGGCACGGGCGGGGGTGAGGGTGTCGATAAAGAGCTGCTGTTGGTGTCGGGGGAGGTGCGCTCGCGACGCAGCAGGGAGGCCGGCAGGTACTGGTTCAACTGCTTGCGACGCACGTACCGGGCCTGAGGAAATATAGAGTGTTTCTTACCACTGACAAACTGACAAACTTGCATCACGGAAACTTATATAACGATACTAAAGTGCGTAAAAAAATCATTTAGTTTGGGGGCAATGACAAAACCAAAGAAAAGTTAGCAGTAATATATTACCTGTGTAATCATGCCTTCCCTTAGCATGTAAGATTTCCTAGCTTGACTGTTGACGTTCTCCACGAAGGTCTGGATGTCATATGTCAAGTCTAGGTTTAGCGTGCTTTTCTCAAACTGTAACTCGATGAACCACATTGAGCAGCAGTTGGCTGGAGGCTGCCCAGTAGTTGCATTGAGGGGCGCAGAGTTGAAGCACTCGGTGTTCACGTGAGCGAGTGCGATAGAGGTGTTCATACACATCACATCCAGATTCAAAAAAACAATCGGCAATCAAATCTGCGATGCCTCCGCGCCATCCGTCCAGTCAAAGCAAGTTTAATATACTTGAAGTGATCACTGACCGATTAGGTGTCGGATCTTGCTTTCGACGAGCCCACTCCACTGCAGCTGGTCGTTCGGGCTGGAGGAGGAAGCCAGCAGTACTATGAAGTACTTGTACTTGGGAAAGAAGTTCGGCGTGTCGAACAAACATTCCCAACCACAATTGCCCTTCATTATCTCCTCCGTCGTGGCCAGACCTGAATTTACAATATATATTTTAAATATTTTTATGCGCTAACGAAGACAATTAATATACTAGTGACATAATAGGTTTCAAATGTTCTACGTGGATGATGTACATACCAATCTTAAGCTCCTCTACCATGACGGACCTGGTGGAAGCGCTCACGTTGAACGTGGAGTTCTGCTGTGGGTAAGCAAGAGTGATTACGGGCATCAAGTGGTACCGATCCGCTAAGTTCACCTGAAATGAATTGCATAGATATAGACACTTACTATTTCATATATTGCATTGGTAAAAATTAAAGAAGAAATTAATTTCATTAATTTAAAAATGTAATAGTACAAAATTACGAAAACTCAATACTTACTCGAGGATCCCAAACGGGGAAACCAAGTCTGTCGGGATCGACTCGCTTTAGCAGAACTGGTAGTGGCCACCTCCACTGGTAGAAGATTAAGAAGAACTTGTTCACTAAGGTCGCAGGCAGTGCGATGGGGTACAACTGACATGTACGAGCGACCAACATGGCCCACGACACGCCACCCGGGTAGCTCAGCGCATTGGAAAAAATTCCTCGACCTGTTAGAAATAATTCATGACTAATGACAAAACAATCTCTAAGACAGAGCTGCAATTTAAGAAACATTGTTTTATGTTAAATCACTTACGTTTAGCCCACAGCTTGTTGGCGCGCAGCGTGAGCCTGAAGTTCTCTACGTTAGGAGCGAGTCGAAGAATCTCGTCCGTCACTCTGCAACCGTTTAGCGAGCGCACACACTTCTGGTCCAAATTCTTCAATAACATGTCGTCATCGAGGTCAAACGAATCTGTACACAAACATTATAATTTTATGAATCGACATGTAAGACGATTAGCAAATTCGGTTTGAAAAAACGTTTAGTCATCAAAAAATTATCTTGCCTGGATCTTTCGACAGAGGAAGTCTTGCGAACAATAGGTCTATGTCAATTCCATCAAAGTTCAGTTTGATAACCGGAACGTAAGCGTTTTCAACGGCTATCAAATCTTTGACCTGCACACATAAGAAATGTTAGCTTCATGGACATTGTATCTATTGCCCGATATAACCATACAGGTAAAATAGTCGAGCAAGCTACAACAAGTTGCACCAACCTGTTTTTGAGCCTTCAAAAGACTATAAAATGTAGAGAAAAAACTTCTTCGCTCAATGTGCCGTCGCAACGCACAGCGCGTCAATGTCAGCGCCTTTGTCGTGTACCTGTTAAACAATACATAAACTCGTGTTAATTTTAATTCATTAATTTAAAGACAATGTAAAAATTAGTAATGCTACCGACTCAAAGAAACTTTGGTAAGAAAAGAATAAAAAGTCCACATATGACAATCACTCACCCCCAGCCTGTACGAGCCGAAAGTAAACACCTTTCCTCCGTCAGAGCTCGCTACATCAGCAGGCATGTTCTCCCTGAGAGACTCCTCCCTCACCCACTGCCTCACGAGCTGGTGCAGGGTGCCGAGCACCTCACAACGGTGCTGGGTCTCTTGCTCTGACTCGAACACACCGAACGAGGCCAGGTACTTTCGCAACTGCAATTACAATGTAAGTTAATGTAAATCCTGTCGAACAACATACACAGTAAACACTTAGTACAACATTGTGGCTACTAAAAAATAATTAACTTTTTTATAGTCACTTATTGAGAAATATATCTAAACAGAACAAACTAGAAGGCGTCATCGCGCTTCAAACAGAAGCAAGTAAAACCATTCTCAACTAGAATAGTATGAAATTTCTACGATTAGTCAATTTTGGCACGTGGCATGTCGTGACGTATTTACGAGTATCAATTTTAATTTCATTATGCCGTCTTGTGTTATTACTACAAGTAAAAATGCGACTGGAATTACGAAAAAAGTGGATAAGATTACATTTCATCTGCAAGCATCGACTGCAATAGTATATTTAATTAATTATTGAATTTTTTTATCGATTTATTTTTCTATGAAAATGATTCGGCCATTTTGTGAGTGTTGTCATACTTGGTGAAAATTTTACCCACTTATTTATTTGTTGTGGGTTATATTTTTGTCCATTATGGAGCCTATGCAATATTAGTTTCCCTGACAAAAAAATAAATACAAATCATACAAAGGGCACGGTTAGATTAATTTTGGAAACCATCTAGCCAGAGCATAGTTTGCTCAATTCACTTTGAAGAGATATATTTATGACAAAGGTGGTTTGAAAACAGCATATCCTACTAAGATATATCCATACTAATTATATTGCTGAAGAGTTTGTTTGTTTGTTTGCTAGAATGCGCTAATCTCAGGAACTAAGTAAAGTAAGTAGACTTCTAATCTTTAGTTCCGAGTCTAAAGACATATTAAAAAAACTAAACCAGCAAAAGGGAACGCAATAAGACCTTTGTACTTATTGAAGCTTTATTTTATTTGTTGTGTATGTAGATGTAGCTAAAATGAACACAGCCAGAAATCGTCAACTTTTATGATACCTCTTTGAAATGTGTGAACAACTAGTCTGTTGCATTTATCGTAAGTTTACCTATTTTGTTGGGTTTACTCGTATCTTACCCTCCTGTTGTTAAATTACCCCAAACCAAGGGAATTGTTCCACTGTCGGCAACACTACGCGGGTGGGAGTGCGGCTGGCGGGGGGATTGACGTATTGTTTTTGGACATATTTGACGACATGTAATTATGAGTGAACGCGTATTCTGGATTGTTCTGTATTCTGAGATCTAAACTTAAAAATGATGATAGTGATCACACAGAACAATTTAAAAATGTAAAACATCATCGGTAGTTAACAAAAACCTGGCAGTCAAAAAATTAAAAGAAGTGGGTATACAAAAAACAAATGGCAATCAGTGGTCGGTCAATAGTGTAAAGAGAAGGGAAGTAGGTTATCTTCATACAAATACAGTAGTTTATAGCAAAAAAAAAAAACGCACCGCGCGCGGCTTGTATGTCTGCGCCATAGTATCTACGCGTCGACGCACGCACACTGTAACAATCTCGACCCGTTTCTCAGTGCGCCAGTCGGGGCTAACACTGCACTAGGTTCGCGCGTCAAATTATATTTGCAAAAGTTATTTATATAAGGATGCGAATATATTACACATTAAAGTTTAATAACAAGGGGTTTCGTGATAGTCGAAACCGACGAAAGTATTTTTCTGTAGCTAATTTGTAATTTTGTAATAAATGTATGTGAGAAAATAATGTTAATACTAACGACATAATGCTTTATGAGCTGACTTACATGGATGAATTAATTACAATGATGTTGTTTGGATGTGGCATTCATAGCGAGTATAAAAATGTATTAACTTTTATTGTTATTTTTAATATAATTTTGAATAAGCATATACGATTCAAATTTTAATCCTATTGTTAATTAAAGTATACATGTTTGTGGTAGTAACTTACTTTAGTAGTTTTTATAAGTTTTTTGGATTCTTTTGCATAAACGGGTAATTTATCGATACGTTACACATCTCAAAATAGTGATCAGATACAGCAATTAAGGGTTCCCCAATCAGGCAAAAATCTGGTGTTAAGACATCAAATGCATCAGACTCTGTGTTCAAGGTGGACTCGGGCCTAGAATTGCGGCAACTCTCAATTTGCACCAATACATTGGATAGTTCCTCATAAAGTCATAAGTTAGGGTCGAATCGCCTATAACACGTTTTAAATGGAACTTCACTGACTTAACGCCCGCCTCCCACAATCCTCCGAATTTAGGTGCATGAGGTGGAATAAAATGCCATCTTGTCCCAGTGGCAGCTAATGTTTCACATATTACTTTTAAGTAAGTTGACCTTTCTGATGCAAATAAATCGTGGAGTTCTCTTGAAGCCGCGACGAAATTTGTCCCGTTATCGCTCCAAATATCCGTACCTCTACGAACTACGAAACGATTGAACGCAGCTAAAAGTCCTTGTATAGTTAAATCACTGACCGCCTCAATGTGCACAGCTCGTGTTAATATATACTTATGAGTGTGATGACCTCGTCCCTTTGTCGTCCTAATAAGTACCGGAACTGCGTAATCAACGCCACTATACTTAAATGGTCTTGAAGGACTAGATCTAGGCTCGGGAAGTTGGCCCATCAACTGCTGTGAAGTTCTTGCAGCTGCTTTTACACATGGAATGCACTTTTGCACATAGCCTTTAATTAAAGCTTTACCTTTAGTTATATCGCTGCTTAAGTATGTAAGCGTTAATTGGGTTCCACCGTGAAGCGTTTTGGCATGCGCTTGAGCTATTAGTAAACGTACGTAACGTAAACGGGTAATTTAGACCTTTTAGGTATCACCATGTTTTGTATTAAAATAAAGCTGTGATTTTTCTAACCTTCCTTCTACCCGTAAAATGTTTTCTTCGTCCAAGTAAGGACTCAAAGACTTGAGAGGTCCTTTTAATTTGATGAAATTACCTTGTTTCCTGATTACAGCAATCTCTTCCTTGAAACCTCCAGCCTGACAAATACTAAAAACGCGTTTGCGAGCTTCATTCAACTCTTCTGATAGAAGACAGCTATTAAACTGGTTATTATTTCTTATTAACTTCAAAAAATGTCTACAGTAGGCCACAACCCGTATTAATTTTGTAAACGTCGAAAATCTAACCCATAGGGACTCATCAGTGACAGTGACGTTAACCTTCGCAATTTCTAAATCGGTCTCTAATTGTTTTGATTTACTGTAGTATTTTTGCTTCCAACAGAAATGCTGGGCCCTTAAGCCAGGGTAGATTCCTCGAGATCCGAAGTCAGCAGGATTTTGACTTGAAGAAACATGCGACCATTGGGTTGAATCTAACGTTGTCAATATCTCTGAGACCCGGTTAGCGACGAACGTCTTCCAGCGGTTAGGATGGCTATTGAGCCATGCTAGAACTACTGCGGAATCCGTCCATGCATGAACTTTACATATATCTATCTCCAAGACCTTTGCTTCTTCAACTAGGAGTGTAGTGGCGGCGTCAATTGGGACTGGTCAGCTTCGGACTGTTTATTGTCCTTAAGGTTATTTTCTTTTAATGTTTCTCTGTATATTAGCGTTACACTCTTCTCACATAATCAAACCAACTAAATAATGTATCAAAGAATCTTTATGTGACACTGATTTAAAAAGAGTAACCATGGAGTTTCTTGCTCGTTCTTCTCCATCGGAATCTACACATTGGAACGAGCAAATAGCTTCACTAAGAGGACTGACTGACAGACTGACACGTGATATCTTTAAAATTTTGTTTGACGTTCAAAAGTGCCTGTATGGTATGGGTCTAATTGAAATAAATGATTTCGACTTTAACAGTAGAGCTAGTGTCGTTCGTAGGCCCCGCCTTACGCGCTCCACCTCTGCGCGCACGGGAGAATGAGGCTCCGTGCTCCGCCTCGGAGGCGTGGAAGGAAAGAATACTCAAAGCGAGCTCCCATTATCATTTTAGATATTTGTTTTGTATGTCGTTTGTTGTAGCGCCGTAGCACCAGATTAGCAATTGCTGTATAATATTGTTAATACCTAGTTTATTTGTATGTTAGGTATTATAGCCAGTCACCTGGCTGTGATGTCATATCGTAATGTTAAGAAAAAAATATACCACATGTTTGCAAGCTATGAACAACTTTGAATGTCACTTTTGTCTTCTTTACAATGGTTTGTAACCAAGTGTTCTTTTGTCTTTGTATAGCTTAAAACAGTCGAGCGACAGAGCAATAAACTATTCCCATTTAAACTAAAGTATTGTTTATTTACGTTTATCGTAATCACAAAAAGATCTTTCTTAGAATAGTTTTAGAAGGTTCTTATATGAGAATGGAACGAATAAATAAGAATATTTCAAAAAAAACAACACATGCTTAATGTTCTTTTTCTTATATTGGAACCTTGCAGGCTGCACACTTGGCTCAAACGGAGAAGGTTTGAGAGAGTTAGAAATTATAAGTTCAGGTTTCCCATCTAGTACCTTTATTTATTTAAAATTGAGTGACACCTCCAGTAAGGGTGTTTTTAATATCGTGCGGATTTCGTCACGCGTGCGGTATTGCCCCGCATGCAGAAAATTTCACGCAGCGTGAAACCCGATAGTCTATAATCTAGTTTGATGCGGGCTGCTATGCGTTGTGGTTGTGTACAATGGACGACAAACTCAGAAAGTTGTTAATCATTTACTTAATTTACAAAAGACGGAATAAGAAAACAAGATCACAATATGGCCTATTATTTGAAAGGAGGATTCTTGCTGGAACGTTTGTCACGCACTATGGCAATTTACGAATGAATGAACGGAAGTTTACGAGTTATTTTCGAATGTCCATTCGTACTTTTGATGAATTGTTTGGAAGAATTGAACACAGACTACAAAAATACAATTCAAGAAAAATTTCCATCCACCCAACAGAACGTCTAGCTGTCGCTTTGAGGTAAGTAAATTCCTAAAATGTTTTTAGAGTATTCATTTGTTTGTCAGGATCAGTGCCAGATTAAGCCATCGCGGGGCTTGTAGTAAATTCTGTCAAGGGGCCCTTGGTTTGCTTTTGGTTCTTCGGATGTTCAGGGTATTAAATAAAACAAAACTTTTACAAATAAACTTTTCTGGATTTAATATGGGCAAAATTAGAGATAATCCTTTCAACATGCGTTGGAGTGCAGCGGGGCCCGTAGCATTCACTCTTGCTATATGGCTAATCTGGCAATGGTCAGGATCGCGGGTGTACTTTTTCAATTTTTTTTTATGTTGAATTTAATTTTAACTCGTTCTATACCTTGCAATCACAATATGAAAGTGAGACCTTTTACTATTAATACCTCACTAGGTAGACTCAGGCTCAGTGCTTGATAGCACTATAGACTCACTAGTCTATAGTGATTTACTATTAAAAATTTGAAATTATTCAAAATCACAAATTCTTTATTAAAAATCACAAATTCTGTATTCAAAATCACAGTTTCCTTATTCAAAATCACAAATCCTTTATTTAAAATCACTGTTTCCTTATTAAAAATCACAAATTCTTTATTTAAAATCACAGATTCCTTATTCAAAATCACAAATTATTTATTTAAAATCACAGATTCCTTATTCAAAATCACAAATTATTTATTTAAAATCACAGTTTCCTTATTCTAAATCACAAATTATTTATTTAAAATCACAGTTTCCTTATTCTAAATCACAAATTATTTATTTAAAATCACAGTTTCCTTATTCAAAATCACAAAATCTTTATTTAAAATCACAATTTTTTTATTCAAAATCACAAATTCAACAATCCTTTCACAGCAAAATTTTAATCAATATTCGAATTATGTTGCAGACTATCAGTTCCACTAGTAGTAGTATCCACTATGTCCTGATTTACTAAAGCAGAGACTATGATATTTTCGTCGCCTTCTTAAGTATTGTGAAGTGTTTGGTTCAAATCACCAAATGGCGACATACTATCATAGTTACTCTCATTATTGGTACCTATCGACTCCTGCTGATAAAAGTTGTTCAATGATTGAATTTGGTGTTCCATTTCCATGAGCAAGTTTAACACTTTTGTTCTAAACATAAGTTTCTGATACGAATTAAAACGGTTTAATGCCGGTTGTATCGACTTGTAAAAAGCTAAATCGTCTGGTGCTATCTCCAATTCACTTGATTTTAATAATTTCAGTAATTCTGCTTCGAATTCGGAATTGGCTCTTTTTGGTTTCTTTTTTGCATTTCCTGTCCGTTCATTAATTCCCTGAAGTCCTGAAGTACTTGGTTGTGTTTCCGTAGAAGATTGCTCTTGAACTAGTTCGATGGTTGAACTTGGCTGATGCTTGTTTGCGCTTGTTTGTGAGTCTGTATTACCTGATTGTAAACTACTGTCTTGAGTATGTTCTTCAGATAGCGTCTCATCTACATCTATATCTGTTGTTTTATCAAGAAAAGTCAACATATCATAGAAACTGTATTTTTTTTCTTTTGGCTGGCTGAGTCAGACGGCTGCTTCTTATCGGAAGACTTCTCTTTACTATAAGTGTCTCTGGCTGTACGCCAGCGCTGTTGAATTTTCTTATCTGAAATAATAACAATATTGTTTTAAATTAATAATAGGTAATCATGACATATAGGTTCATACATTAATATACTAATTATTAATGAAAAAAATATAGGATGGAATTTATTCTAGAAATACTCATGGAAAACAAAGCTTTTACTTGTTCTTATTAAAAGAGAAACACTTTTAATAGAACTCTTATAAAAAGAGTTATAATGTATATTAATAAAATAATTCGATTCAGTAAAATGACAAATTTGTCCATATATTTTTGAAATTTTTATATGCATAAATCTACCATTTTACAGAATCATATTATTTGTCAAGGTTTACATTTTTTTTTCAGATATTTGGCGACTGGGAACACATTTACTGATCTACATTTTTCCTACTTTATAGGAATAGCCACGATAAGCCAAATAGTAAGACAAGTTTTTAGTGCTATTGTCATTGATTTGAAATATGAATGCATCCCAACACCTAGTGAGAGCAAATGGAAAGAAATCGCACAAGGATTTTTCACCAATGCAAATTTCCCAAACTGCCTAGGTGCAGTTGATGGGAAGCACATACGAATAATTTGTCCACCGCAAAGTGGGTCAGTAAATTTTAATTATAAGAAATATTTTTCTATAGTACTCTTTGCGATGTGTGACGCTGATTATAATTTTACATACATCAATGTTGGTGCGAGCGGAAGTAATTCCGATGCAGCTATTTTCAAAAAGAGTCAACTATATGCCAGACTTGAGAATGAAACTTTATGTGTACCCGATCCTCAAGAGTTACCTATTATTTGTGCAGATGAAGCCAATCAGTCTAATGTGAGACCTAAGTTACCATTTGTTATAGTGGGAGACGAGGCGTTTGGTTTATCATCGTATGTGATGCGACCGTATTCTCGTGATAACTCATCATATAGACAGAAAATATTTAATTATCGTCTCTCTAGGGCTAGACGTTACATAGAATGCACATTTGGAATGATGTCTAATAAGTTTAGGCTATTTCACAGACCCATTAACGTTAAAATGGATCTTGCACAGATAATACTCAAGGCGGCATGTCTACTTCATAATTTCATAAGAAAACGCGATGGTTACAGAGACAGAGATACATTAGTAATTAATGGTTTCTCGGGTTCATTACCTAGGCAGCAGACTGAACGAAATATTAGACAGGCAAGTAATACCAGGGATTTATTTGCTGATTATTTTATAAAAGAAGGTAAACTTTCCTGGCAAGATAGATATGTGATTGGTTTATGAAGATAAAAGAAACATTTCAGACCGGCAGGCATGCTGTCATTTCCTCTAGAGGGCGCGAAGTTCATTTTCATGTGACGTCATAATATAACCTAACCAGCGGACAATAGGTAACGCATTTGTCAATTTATGACTATTACTACTGTGATCGAACTTAACTAAATGTGAGGGTAGAAGTTCAATGGTAACTTCAAAATTACTTTTCATAAATTGTCTCGATTTTCCGCTGGTTATAGGCTAACTAATATGTACCCAACCGAAAATATTAATAATACAATCGTATAAAAAGTACATACCTGCATTTTTCTTTTCCTCCTCACTTAAAACTTTCGAAATTTGGTGCTAGTTCCTTTAATATCTCTTCCCAGGCAGCACTTCTAGCATCTCTATTTTTATATAGTTCATGGGATTTATCCCATAAACAAGGCCGCAAATGTACTTCAATTATGACACGTTCCGTATCAATTTTCATTGTGACTAACTGTATTACGCGCGCGTGCACTCCGCACGACAGTAAAATGCTTACTGTGTTTCATAGACGCGCTCACGCACGCGGGGGCCCCGCGCGGTGCTGCTGCCCCCGCGTCCCGCGTCCGTATTCCACGCATTATATAATAAATACTTTTATGAAAAGGACATTTGCGGGGCTTACGCATGCGGGGCAATCCCGCACGCGTGATGATATCCGCACGATATTAAAAACACCCTTACTTCACTCACACGACGAAACACAACGCTGAGGTTGTTTCATGCCGGTTTTCTGTGAGACCGTGGTATTACTCCGGTGACATCGACCCATTCGTGCCGAAGCTTGGCTCTTAATAATATCATACTCTATAACATAATAATCTCCTTTTGTATCTGCATTTATCATATCTATTCGGTACTTTTCATGAGAAAGAGTAAAAAAATCAACCATTCAGCTATCAATACTAACAAAACTTTCCCGTTAATCATACTAGTGGACTTCTACGTTTTACACAAAGTAAGAAACTCCAAATATGAATGTTGACAGAGACATTACTAAATCCCACAATTTACAAATCATAGCAGAAATAAATCAGAAAAATAAGAAGTGACCTCATATAATTGTCAGACGAGCTCAGCTAGTTAGTACATAGGATAGCTCATGTGACATTCACAAATAAAAAACAATATGTTGTGGACTCACTGTTCAACTGCTCTGTAGTACTACGCCGTAGTACATTGCAATAGAGCTACGGTATGCTACGGCTACTATATATTCAATATTGCTTGTATGTACATTCTTAAATAATAATGTTTTTATTTCGAAACAAGAAAGCGAGGGAACACAAATTCAATAACATATTGCGATAAAGAAAGTAATTTAAAAATATAAATTATTGGTTTATAGTAAGAATTAATGGACAGTTAGTGGCAACAAATTAATTAGATCATAATTGATTTTTATATTTTAAATACTGTTGGTAGATTCACGAATGTTTTAATGTATTCTATTTATAATTATTATTTATAAATGACAGTTAATTAGTTAATCATATGACATTGGTCGGTAAAAAAGTAACCCAAGTTATATTCGGTTCAATTTCTTATTTGGCTGTCAAGGCGTATAAAAATTTAAGTACTATTTATTATTGTTGTATTGTTTTAATTTTTTATTACTAGATCATTAGAATTCGTATATTTTGCATTAATATTAATGTATGAGTGAGAAGAAGTAAGGTTAGTAATTTGAAACATAGTTTTTGTAATGTTACATGGCAATCAGAAGTAAGATGATATAAAACACCTGCTTGGGTATAACAACCAGAAAAGTTAGCGTTTTTATATTAACAAAATAATAGATGATATAAACTGGTTTGGAACAGGACGAAACGACTTCAGACAATAGTGACACTTTGTAACAAATTCTAGAAATATTTTAATTAATACTATTCGATTACATAACAAGGTTCACGGTACGGATAAATACAATACAAAGGAATATGGAAGTACCCATAACTTACAAATTAGAACAAAAGGATATTAGACTAATGGGTAGATGAGTCACAGACTCGCAAATGTATAAAGTCGTCGCAGGTAGCGTGTGAAAGTTTGTGAATATTGACAATTATTGACAATTGATACTACTTTAGATAAAGGGCAAGCAAGTAGTAGTTGGAGTCAGTGTTCCTCGGAGCGTTGTAGTGTGCGGTTGTGTGATCAGTTTAGAGCTTACTAGGTGTGTCAGAATTATGTCGAAAATGTGGTCTAACTCGAAGTATTCCCTGAGGAATAATTCCAAACCTTACAATTTGGAAAAGTTCAATAAACGCCAGACCCAGCAGAGATCGAGAACTTATGGCTTGACCTCCGCTATATCTCACGACGGTGAGTTATGGACATTGGTTCTGTTTTTAAGTATCAGATATTTTGCGAGGATTTATATTAACTTAATTTATAAGTGCAGGCCCGAAACTTGGCGATGTCGACAAAAACGAGCGATTGCGAGAGTACCTGGCCTCGTACGGTGTGTTCGAGTCAGAACAAGAGACTCAGCATCGTTGTGAGGTGCTCGGCACCCTGCACCAGCTCGTGAGGCAGTGGGTGAAGGAGGAGTCTCTCAGGGAGAACATGCCTGCTGATGTAGCGAGCTCTGTCGGAGGAAAGGTGTTTACTTTCGGCTCGTACAGGCTGGGGGTAAGTGTTAGTCATATATGGATATTTTATTCTTTTCTCACCAAGGTTTAGTTTAGTTAGACATTTGAGTTTAAATTACTGATTTTATATTATGCATTGTTTAACAGGTACACAACAAAGGTGCTGACATCGACGCGCTGTGTGTTGCGCCGCGGCACATTGAGAGAAGAAGTTTTTTCTCCACATTTTATAGTCTTTTGAAGGCGCAAAAACAGGTTGGTACAACTTGTTGTAGCTTGCTCGACTGTTTTACCTGTACGGTTATATCGGGCAATCGATACATGTCCATGAAACTAACATTTCATCTGTGTCTTTATGCAGGTCAAAGATTTGATAGCCGTTGAAAACGCTTTCGTTCCGGTTATCAAACTGAATTTTGATGGAATTGACATAGACCTATTGTTCGCAAGACTTCCTCTGTCGAAAATTCCAGGTAAGATAATTTTTTGATGACTTAGCATCTTTTCAAACCAAATTTGAAAATCGTCTTATTTGTCGATTCGTAAATTATATTTTTTGTGTACAGATTCGTTTGACCTCGGTGACGACATGTTATTGAAGAATTTGGACCAGAAGTGTGTGCCCTCGCTAAACGGTTGCAGAGTGACGGACGAGATTCTTCGACTCGTTCCTAACATAAAAGATCAACTACAGAATTATGAGGCAACCATAAAAGATAGACATATGCTGTAAAATTTTTTTTTTTAGATATTTCATGGAGAATATTTCCGTCATGCACAATTTCTATGTAACTTTAACCATTAAGGGTACACACGCGACGGAAACTTAAAAAAGGGAGTAACTTCTCGCGTTTTTCCAACATTTCCCTTCACTGCTCTGCTCCAATACATCCTAAGACGCCAGGAATACCAACTAGTTGATAGAACCTGAAAATTTTTTATGAATTAAATAAATTTGCTTAGAAAAACAAGCAATACAAACAAAAGAATCAGGGTCTATTTATTTTCTTACTTAGCCTTTATAATATGCCTTTCATCACATTGTGTTGGCCATTTAATATACTTATGATATAATTTGTTTAGTGCCTCAGTTACTTGTTTTATTGACCTGGACAAGGTCATTTGGGACACATTTCGATATGACCCTGATGCGTAAAAGGACAGCTATCAGAATCTGCAATAAAAGTATAAGTAATATTAATTAACGAATATCATGTTCAAATACCAAATAGTTATAGACAAATAAATCAATCTCAAATAAAGATTTCTTACTTTCATTTATATTGATATGCTATCATTTCGACGCGATATAAAGCAGCTCGTGTCCGATTCGCTCGAGATAACAGGGACTTTGATTTTCCACGTCATATTTTCTGACGAGCAAAGTTTTAAGTCAAGTCAAATCTGACTAATGCTGTCGGCCAGTTTTTTATAGTTTATAAGACAAATACGGAAGTTGCGATGACTAAGAGGAGAAGACGAATTATGTTCATGCACAATATAAGCATTTAAAACTGAAACATTTAGAAGTCTTTTAAATAATTTTTTGTACCAGATTCTAGTCCGCTTGCGCTATATTGGGTACATGGCCAGCATTTGGTCCTTTTATCCACCCCGCCCATCATGATATTGTAATCCAATATCAAGATGGATTTGGTGGAACCTCTAATGGACGGAACACCGTTGCCATGGTATGTCGAGAGCATAGACACTCTATTGCTATCTCTTCACACCATAACATCGATTTCTCTGGAGGTAAGACCAGTAATCTCACCTGGGCGCATGTTTTTTTAGTCAGATTGTGTAGAGGTGCCTCTGGCACAAACAACCTATTCGTGCGCAAAGTTCCTACACAATCAAAACCCAATAAATTTAGGCGCCGCGTTAGACATGGTGAATTATAAAAATTGTCCATCCACAACGTGTGACCCCGGATCTCAAGACCGTGTATAAGTCTTAGAACAATTGCGAGCGTGAATGGTTGTTATATGTCTTCCGTTTGCAGTAGCAGAGATTTCTTATAAGCTTGAACCTCAAACTACCATAAGTAACCGGTTTGAGATTTACAAATTGCATAAGATTTAATCCCCACTGTAGCGGCTTTGTTAGGAATTAATTGGTTGATATCTAACCAACCTTCCCATTGCAGAAGAGATTCATCTAACGATATATTTCTGTTCAAGTTATAAAGATCCTGGAAAGCGATATTCAAAAAATCAATAATAGATTGAATCTTAAATAATTTTGCCTCTAAGGCGTCCAGTCTTAAGGCACAAATTCCTTCATTATTTCTAAAATGTAAACATTTATTTAACAACATAAATATATTAAAAGTCATATGTGCGCTAAATCCGTAAGTAACAAAAAGGTCAGGACTAGAACTCCAGTACTCCTCCAGTCTCGATTTTAGGACAACACCCATCCCAAGGATGAGCCCAAAGTAAACATAAAGTTCATCAGCCGTGGTATCGCGCCACTGGCTGATGCGAATGTTGGGAAAAAGTTTGTTATTGTCGAGCATCTGAGTAGTGACTTGTTGGGCATACCTATTAGTCTCAGATGCAATGTACTCCATAAATTGCCGATCCCATATGGCAATGAAAATATTATATGGGTCGACACTTTGTGTTGTTGCACCATCATTACTTTCGCTTAACATTTCTCTCCTCGATTCTGGTGGAATCGGAGGATTTGGAAACGCTGACTCAAAATCGTTAACAGCCCATGGTCGCTCCGTTGTTGACGTCGGGACAGCCTCAACGATGAATTATGGCTGGCCTTCAATGTCTTCGGTGTCCATGGGTGTTTCTAAAAGGCACCTAAAGGTGCGAGGAATCAGTGGTGCGACCAAATCTTCATCATCGCTCTCACCATCACTGGGTTCGCTACCTGGTAAAAAAATTATAAATCTGTATTGAATATGATGAAGGCAAAAAGCTAACCTGAAGTTATTTTAAATGCCAACAAAGTATACCGTAATTGAGCACTCAGCATATTTTTTCATCGCGAAGACGACTCTGGCGAGAGCGAGGAATTGCTATACCGGATCGATGAAATGGTTGGTGAGCTTCGGGTGTCATATTTAATAAACCTGAATCAAAATCATCTTTGTATAAGCTATTACTTTAAATAAAATTTAATAGAAAGGTTCCTAACCTACTAACGTCGATGGTGAAGGCACCGAAATTGCCGGTGATAAACATGGCTCGTTAGCCACAGAACTTATTGATGCCACTTCATCCACTGTATTTAAAATTACAGTCGTTTAAGTTGGTGATGGTCGATTGGCAACCGTCACAGACCTATAACCAAAATATAAGCGCAGTGTTTTATCTATGATAAGCTTAAGACCCGCGAACAAAATCAACATATTAATAGCTTATATTCAAAAAATTTATATTACTTACGGTTGCCACGCACGTTGCCGATATGGATGCAAAGGCGCCGCAAGACCTTGGCTACTTGGCATTTCCGCGATATCACACATTATAAGTCTAAAATAGAAATTTCATAGTTTAAAAATACAATATTGTAAACACTATGACAAAAAGCGATGTTGAAAAATTTTCACTCGTCAATAGTGGAAGGTCCGGGTCACTTATTCGGGCCACAGCGTAAGGCGCGGCCACGACGATTTCCACGACTTACTGTACCACGCGCAATAACCGCCACCTCTTCCACAACCACTGATTCTGGTGCAGCTGTACCTCCTCTCACACGCACACCACGACGCCCTCTACCAACACCACGCGTACGAGCGTCTTATTGTACTAATTCAAAACGAGCAAATGAAAACATGCATTTAAAAAGGCGTTTAGTATTTTTTGTTAGTTACAAAAATACACATTACGAATTTTTCCCTTTAAACTTTTCATTTTGTATATACATATTAGAGTAGTTTTTTCTCCCATCGGTTTTAGTAATAATTTCTGTATTATTTTTTATCTATATTTATTACATAGAAAAGTTTAAGGAGAACAATACCTAATGTTACAAAAAACAATGTTACTAAAAAAAATTACAATTAGAAAAAAAAGTCACCACTGCGCCAAAGTACAAAAACGGATATGAATGTCTTATAATATAATATAATAATAATGTCTTACGCTCCGAACAGCGTTACCGTATTAAGTATATAATTAGTACATACTACTACGGGCTGGTGCTGAAAATCAGCGCCGTGGACTCATGCCCTCGTGCTCGGGCCACAGTATTAAGCTGAGCTCCTTTTGCGCTGCGACGCACTATGGGCTTTTTGTGTGTGGCGACACAAAAAGCCCAGCCCAGCAAATTGTAACCACATTGTATCCAATGTGGTTACAATTTGCATCGACTCAAAAAAGCGCGAAACGTCCACCTGAAATAAAATTAAATAATTGATTACTATTTAATATACTATACTATACAAAAATATTCGTAAAAGAAAGAAGATGCAAATAACACACTCACACTTATGTTAAAAAATTAAAAGAAGCAAAAGAATTCCCACTGTAAAATCCCAAAAAGGAAACATTGTGATAGACTTGGAATGCTTTTGCCGAGCAAGTTGTGGCCACTCCAATGAGCCAAGACACAAAAGAATTTGTAAACCAGCGTGGACGGTAGGGAGTCAGGGTACAGCTGACACGTATAAGCCACTAACATAGCCCACGACACGTCGTCCAGGAATCCAAGTGTGTTGGAGAATACTCCGCGACCTGTCCGCACAATCAATAAAATTACATCAAAAATTCAAAGCTCATGTTACAAGTTTACACTTCACAACAGCTTAAGAGTTTATGCAAGCAAGGCCAAAACAAACACGAATTGAGAAATTAAAAAAATATACAGGGTGTAAGGGACAGCCTTCCGCAAACTGATAGGGTGGATTCAGTATATCGTCTTAAGTTGACCGGTACATGAAATTATTTCAGGAACGTTATGGGAATCCAATTAAACCGATTTGTTTCATTACCTTACACGCAATGTATCGCTACCACCGCAAACGCACGCAGCGAACGGCAGCGCTTTTAGTATTATTACTTTACACTATGGGCAGCGCCGCGACCTTACGTTCAGACAAACGGTCGCGCTCGCGCCACGTTTTAATAACAATAAATTATTATTTAAAAGATAGCCGCATTACTTACAAAAGACAATGTAATAATCGCACTCGCGCCACGTTTTAATAACAATAAATTATTATTTAAAAGATAGCTGCATTACTTACAAAAAAAAATCTAACAATCATAACATGGTAACTGATAAATAATAAAAAAAGAAAAATGCGTAGCTACCTTAGAATCGCTCCGGTTTCCGGCTCTGGAAAGCATTTGTGATGCGGTCTCGCATTTCGTACTCACTTGCACACGCACTCACAAACACTTTTTCTTTTACGTAACCCCACAAAAAGGGGTCCAAATGGGTTAGGTCTGGGGATCGTGCTGGCCACGGTTGCGGTCCAAACCTACCTAAACTACGTTTAAATAGGAAAGCACTGGTAAGTGGTAGCGTCTCCTTACGTTAGCGAACCAATTCCAAAATCCACGTAGGTATTGGTCTTCCGGCGCCTTTTTGTCTGGGAACAATGGGCTGGTTTTCTAGCAAGCGTTGATAGTCACCAGTAATTATCCTGGAGTCTGATGGATGGCGACGGTCAGGATACCTACACTACTACAACTACAACACATTATCATCTCCCCATAATCACGCGCGCTAAACGTACCTAGGTAGTAATTTCGCACAATTTCTACACTACAACAAAACTTCACTACACTTCACACACTACATAACTAATAAAACTTAACAACACTACTTATAACAAAACATTTAAGCCGAATGCGCGAGCGATCCGTGCCGACACACGCTCGCGGTACACAAACAATAACATCGCAGCAAGGCACAATGGCGACTGCATGTGATGAGACACACACAAACATAAATCTGTTGTTGCCAATTACACGAAAATTACAAAATTTCGGGGTAAAAAATAAAAAATTATGCATGGTCGTAATTTATCATTCTGTTATTTTTTGTAGAGAAATGAATTGATTAAATCAATTTAATTCTAATTTCATTGTTTAGTTAATTTAGAATAATAAAAGTGCAGTGTGATAGAAAGCTGTGCTTCCATTCCAGGGAGATTGTGTTTAATTTCTGGCTCGACTATCAATTCATGGCTATTGTGAAGCCATGTAAAAATCTGTAAGTAGTTTAAAAACTAGCCAGTAATCGCTTAAAAAGAACAATCAATTAATAAATTAGGTAGTATTTGTAAATGCTTTAAAATTAAAACTAGACTAATCTTTATTTATTTCTTATTCAATTTATGTGCGCGACAAGATTTTCATTAATTGATTAATGAAAATCTCATCAACGTAATTATGAATGCAAAGGAGTTCTCAAGTTTTAGATAAATTTCGCTAGTTCTAACATTTTCGTTTACTACTTGAGGTAACAAAAGTTAAAAATTGGCAACACTGGTTCAATCGGGCAAACATTGTGCAAAGAATCGGGGAGACGGGGAGACGCGGAGGCGGGGCGATAGAAAGGGACGCAGCTATTCTGTACGTTGGACGGGATCGTAGGTATTATACCTACGGCGCGCGGCGCGGCGATCGGCGCGGTGGGGCGCCGAGCCGCTGCGCCGTGACCGCGGTGCGGTGAGTTCAAACGACTCGCGCTAGGTAGAAATTGAACAGCTGATTTCATGCGTAGTTCTTTAGAGAATTCACACAACCATTGCGTATTTTTTTGTTTTAGCTGTGTATTTACATTAATGTTATTCTTCATACATAGAATGTAATTATACATTGAAATAGAGGTGTAGGAACTGAAAAAACGAAAAAAAAATTGAAAATTTTCCTGAAAGAATTTTCACTGGAATATGATTCAGAATAAGGAGCTGAATGCACCCTGTTAATTTGTGGAGGACTGTCCCTTACACCCTGTATATTTAATTGATGGTTGACTTGATGAAAAAGAATCAAACGATTCAAAGCTCGGTACAGGATAGAACTACACTGTGAATTTTTTGACAAGTTGCTTTAAGAAGGTGACAGTTATAAAGTAAGGGAAGATAGCTTTTGTATAATAAAAGTATATTATTTTAGACACGTACGTTTAGCCCAAAGTTTGACGGCGCGCAGAGTGCCCCTGAAGTTGTTGACGTTGGGCACAAGGCACAGGGTCTCCTCCGTGACTCGGTTTTTTTTTGTGAGGGGAAAATCATCAAATGACTTCTCCCGCCCAGGGCCGGGCGGGAGGGAGTGCTAGACTCTTACTGACTAAAAACCTCCCTGTTCCTTCTCCTGCTCTGGGCCGAGGTCGCGGTGCCTCAGTGCGCTTACCCCGCAACCTCGGCTCTCCGTGACTCGGTAGCAGTATACAGAGCGCACCCACTTGTGTTTCAATTGTTGAAGTAGCGCATCGTCCCGAAGGTTCAAAGAAACTACAAACAAAGACACATTGTATATTTTTGACCCGAGCACAACACAAAGCTTTGATCAGACACCAAGAGACGCACAGTAGATCCGCATGCATGTATGTATATATGAGGATTATGGTACAACTTATTAATAAGCTTATAATTTCCCAAAGATAAAGGACGGGTTATTGGAGGGAACTACAAAGCCGTGAAAAAATATTGATAACTGGCTACTCTCGCGCGGTTTCACCCGCTGCTCGGCTCCATTTAATCGTAGCGTGATGTTTTATAGCCTATAGCACTCAGGAACATTGTAGCTATCTATCAGTGAAAGAATTTTGGAAATCCGACCAGCGGTTCCAAATATTACCGCCTACATACAAATTTGCTAATTTAACCTCTAAAAATATTAGTATAGATATCATCTAATTTACTAAAATGTATATCAATATGAATCGATTGTTTGACGAACGTGGTTAGCTAGTAAAGGTTTTGTCTTATCTGGAATTTTAGGGAGATCCAGACTTGCAAATAAGAGGTTTATCCTTATTTGACTAAAGGTCATCGTGATGACTGGAACGTAAGCGTTTTCTAACGCTCGCAGTTCCGTCACCTGCACAAAGAGACAATAAGTTGATTAGAACCAACACTTGTCAGTACGTTACCCTTGTTGATATATTCACTCTACTGACAAATTAGTCAAACAAGCTTACACAAGTGGTACTTACCTGTAGATGACCCTTTAGCATTTCGTACAAAGAAGTGAAGAAGTCACTCCTTTGTATGGGTCGCGGGGTAACGCGTAATACGTCAATTTCAGCAAATCTTGGGTGGACCTTTTAAACAATAGATATTTGTGAGTTAATTTAAAATAAAAAATAAAACACCTTGGTGGTAAACGAAGAGTAGGTCTCAAGCATATATTTAAACATTATAATCTGAAAGTTTGTAGTATGCCTGTCTACATAATTCGCGTTTAATATAAGTTTTAAATTTTCGTTCATTAAGATTTAATACACTTCTTGGAATTTTATTGTAACAATTTACACAGAACCCCATAAAGGATTTCTGTACTTTGGACAGACGGAATCGTGGCACAGCCAGCCTATCTTTGCGTCTAGTATTAAAATTATGTCTATCGCTTCTTTTTTCAAATAATTGCAAATTTTTCCTTACGTACATAATATTTTCATATATAAACTGACAAGGTACCGTTAGGATATTTATCGTTTTAAATAGTTCTCTCAGAGATTCACGAGGGGGCAAGTTATATATCGCTCGGATAGCCCGCTTTTGCAAAATAAATATTGAATCTACTTCCGCAGCTCGACCCCACAGCAAAATTCCGTACGACATAATGCTGTGAAAATAGCTAAAATAAACAAGCCTTGCTGTGTTCACGTTTGTGAACTGTCTAATCTGTCTAACTGCAAAAACAGCTGAGCTCAGTCTTCCCGAAAGCGTCTTTATGTGGGAACCCCATTTAAGTTTATTGTCTAGCGTAATACCTAGGAACATAGTCTCGTTAACAAATTATAACTTTTGCCCATTTAAAATTATGTGTGTGTACGTTGGGCAAGCTAAATTTAATACATTTTGTTTTTATCTCGTTAAGTGCTAAATTATTGACTGTAAACCAATTATGAACTCGATGAATGGATCTGTTTACTTCGTCCAAATTATTAACACGTCGACCTATTCTAAAAATTAATGATGATGTATCATCTGCAAACAGCACCATTCTTGGCTCGATTTTAAATAGAAATGGCAAGTCATTAACATACACTAAGAAGAGAAACGGACCCAAAATTGAACCTTGCGATACGCCAATTTTTATCTCAGAGCCCCGTGAGTTAGATCCACCTACATGAACTCTCAGCTGCCTATCTTCTAAATATGACTTTAGTAGACGGAGTGCAGTATGTCTAATCCCGTAATGATCTAATTTCAGCAAGAGTGTTTCATGATCAACGCAATCGAATGCCTTTGAGAGGTCGCAAAAGACACCAACAGCATCCTGTGCTTCCTCCCAAGCACCGAATACCTCCTTTATCAAAGTGACACCGGCGTCAGTTGTACAACGACCTTTAGTGAAACCGTATTGTTGGTGATGGAAGATGGCATGTTTATCAAAGTGATGAAGCATCCGAGATAGCATTAACTTTTCAAACACTTTGCTAAGAACCGGCAGAACAGACACAGGCCTATAGTTGTTTGGTTCCTTAGTGTCACCATTTTTGAAGAATGGAATATCTTTACTGTATTTCATTAGGTTGGGGAAGACACCGTCATCTATACTTTTATTGAAAATCAAAGCCAGATACGGCACTAAAGTTCGGATAAGTGATCCGCAGACTTTCACCGATAGTCCCCAAAGGTCCTCGGTTGATTTGATCTTGATTTCTTTAAAAACCTTTATTATCTCTAGAGGATTAGTATAATGAAAACTAAAATCGTCTTTGCATGATTTGACATTTTCTCTAAGCAAAGTTACCGATAGTCTAGCTGATGACTCTAAATGAGCAGTTGTTGTGACAGGTATATTAGCAAAAAATGCCTCAAACTCCTGAGCTAAATCTTTGCTTGACGAAATCTGTCTCCTTTCAGTGTTTAAACAAAATTCCAAATTTTTTAATCGTTTCCTACCTGTCTCATTCTGTATTATTTTCCACGTAGCCTTTATCTTGTCATCAGCTGATTTTATTTTATAACTGATGAAAAGTAACTTTGCGGCTTTGCATACTATTCTAAATGTTTTTGAGTACAATTTTACATGTTGATGAAAAAGGGGGTCGCAATTGAATGGTTTCATGCCATAAAGTTCAAAAAGTTTATCTCTACTCTTACGAATACCTACGGTTGCCCAATCGCTAAACTGAAATTTAGAATAGATTTTTAGTCTTTACATTTCATTGGCAAAATAGCTGGAAATTCCCTATTTAACACCGCAAAAAATTTTTCGTATAACATGCTCGGATTACTGACATCAAAATTTTGTACACTTAATTTAGGTGCTATTGAATCATTGAGTTTCTCTAAATTTTTATTTGTAATAATAATATGTCTAAACTTTATTTGAATTTTTTGTAGAGGCAAATAAGTGCTGTAAGTTACCATAAGACCACTGTGGTCAGAAGGTAAACTGTTTAAAATTTTTTTTTCGAAATAGTTACTGTTACTAAAAATGTTATCAATACATTTTTTTTATTACCATTTAAAAAACAAAAACATGAATAAGTATACATAGCATAGTCATAAACTACTGAAGTTTGTAATTAATGCTACTACTAGTTTACATCAAGATTGTTAGATATTGGTTAGTTACATGTGGCAGTGGATGGTGTTATCCTAGTCGGTTCCAGAAAAACATTTTTAAAATTAAATGATCCAAACAAATTTAATAGTTTCATGCTGCCTGAATTGTTTTCCAATAAATTAATGTTATAATCGCCACATACAAGTACTGATTTATGGCTAGAACATACCTTCTTCAAAACATCTTCCATTACTGAATCAAACACTGCAAGTTTCTGATAATTAGGTGGTCTATAAACACAAACAACAACATGTTTATCCAGCTCAACACAGGACAACTCAATAGTGTGTTCAACTGACAGTGCTACAATATCTTTCCTTTCTTTGGACTTAATGCCATTTTTAACTAAAATTAAGGACCCACCATGTAACATATATTTTCTACTAAAATTACTTATTACAATATAATTATCAAAATTAAAAGATATTAATTGGTCCTCTTTCATCCAATGTTCCGCTAAACACACAATATCAAATTGTGTTTTCTCGAGGAACATTTCTAATTCAAATAATTTAGAGGAGCAGCCCTGAATATTAATATAAAATAAGATAAGATTGTGCTGCCCCTGAGCCTGTGTAACAACATTTGATATGAGTTTTTTTTGCCAGAATATACCTTACTACTAACATTATATATGATGGTATGTTCTGTTGTCTTAAAATCTAGTTTAAATCTATCACTGTGTTGTTAGGTAGCCTAGACAGCACAGATTCGTCCCTAAAACTAATATCTGTTCTATTTTTTATAACAGAGTTAATATTGAATGCTATTAGCATAGCAAGTGTTTTTCTATATGTGTTTGAGAGGGATATGCCTCTCTCTGTCAATATAAAATCACTAATAAATTTATTAGTATCAAAAAAAATTAATTTGTCACTATGACAACATGTCAATTGGTGTAGTGTACTGTTAAGTACACCTAAATGTCTATTTTTTGAGTCTGTTAAGGTACTTGAATAGGGAAATGCACAAAGTATTATTTTTCCAAATTTTAATTTTAATAAAGTGTCCACACCATTCACAATGCCCCTTTTTTTCACATCCAAACTGTTACCTACTATTAAAACTAATATTGATTTTTCATTATATTCAGTCTGAGTTATTTTTTCAATAATCTTATTGTAACTCAGACTATGATAACTATTGTTAATGTAATTATGGTCTAAGTGACCATATATCATCTTACCTAAACCACAGCAAGCTGGTCCCCATATATTAAAGCTTTATATTTTAATTTACTACTATTATTGCTACCAACTATTCTCTGTGGGTGTGCTACTATTAAGGAAGACTCAAGAGAAGGCTCAGGAGACTGAGGTTGGTTCACACAACTGCAGACAATGTTATTAGTTAAAGATCAAGACAACTTATTGATAATACAGTACAATATAGATAATGAAAAAAAGATAGTGTCACAAAGCAAAGTAAATTACACTTTTAATAGGTATAATATCGATCTATAGCTAAGACATAGTTTTAAAGTCAGTAATAAGGATAATTAAAATTACCTATTAACGTCTTTAAAACTAGGATAATTAAAATTACCTACACATTATAAAAAAAAACTTTTTAAATATCTAATACTACAACATACAAACTCAACTCATATTATACTTACTTACAAAAAATATATTAAAATTTCAAGTTTGGATATTCAATTCAAGTAAAACCAATCATATTATTTCGATATAAGTAGAAAACGATACGAAGAATTAACACAAGATTAAAACATTTTCTGCGTAATAACTATGTCTACGGTGCGGGGTAGATATAGGAAACCAGCTATAGAGGAATATAAATATTAATCGTGGAAGTTACAAAACGCAACAATTACGCTTTAAGAAAATATTAGGTACTGTTAATATTTTGTTATGCATCTATAACAGCACCGCATCTGCTTCGCATCGATGTTACTAAGGACTCGCAAAGATTCGAGCCTCGGAGCGATTCCCACACCTCGTCAACATGTGCAACTAACGCCTCTTTTGTTCTCTCAGATCTTGAATCCCATCGTTGAACCATTATACCCCACAGATTTTCGATGGAATTAAAATACGGAGAACGCGAAGGCCAGGGCACAGTTCGAAGATTGGGCTGTTGCTCAATCCACTGCTGCACTATGCGAGACCGGTGTATTGGGCAGTTATCCTGAATAAGAGTTATTTCAGGATGTTCTGTGATGTGTCTATCTTTTATGGTTGCCTCATAATAACACATGGCAGTCAGCAGTAGTTCGGAGTATCAGTAGTTCGGAGCATTCTGATTGTATTTGTTTACTCTTACGTTTATAACACTCTCACTGATCCTTAATTTAAAGAGTTCAGATATTTTACTATTCAATAAAAAAATAATGATGAAATCAGTATACATGCGTGCACCTTTTCGACGCAATGTTTCAAAATAATAAACAATATCAATACATATTATAAACAGCAAAAGGTCGGTGTCTGAACAAGGAAGATAAATAAGTAAAAACTTTACAAGGGGAACTTTATATATGCAAAAGAAAGCAAAACAGGGTGTGGTAATTGACCAGTCTACAGATTTAATATAAGTAATAAAATAACAGAGTTAATGCGTAAGTAACTCTGTCTATCAGTTTGTTATTCTTCTTCTTTGACACCTAAACTACTGAACCGATTTGGATAATATACAATACAGACATTGTTTGAAACTCGAGAAAGGACATAGAATAGTTTTATCACGGGAATTCATAGGGAGAAAATCTTATGAGATCGAGAACTATTTAGAAAATCCAAGCGGACGAAGCCGCTGGCAGAAAGTAATCTACAATAAAAAAATCAAAATCCGAAATCTTTTTGATAATACGAAATTTTTATAAATAGGCTACTAAGATCCATTAACCTTACAATCGTGGCAATCACAAACGCTTGGAGTTTGACGAATTAAGTAGAGTAAAATGAAAATATTAAATTCGTGGATTTTTTTATTTAACATTTTTTTTTTAATTGTCGTATTTCGTAAAACAATTTGTTTCCTCCCAGGGAGTCGCTCGGTTGCGTCGAGGGACACAGGAGGTGGTGAGGGCACGGGCGGGGGTGAAGGTGTCGATAAAGAGCTGTTGGTGTCGGGGGAGGTGCGCTCGCGTCGCAGCAGGGAGGCCGGCAGGTATTGGTTCAACTGCTTGCGACGCACGTACCGGGCCTGAGGAAATATAAAACGTTACTTACCACTGACAAACTTGCATCACGGGAAACTTGGATAATAAAGTGCGTTAAAATAAATAATATTTTAGTTTGGGGACCAATGCCAATACCAAAGAAAAGTTAGCAGTAAAATATTACCCATTGAATAAAGAGAGAACAAATAAAAGTACAACCCACACAGAACGTATGCACCCGCTTTTTGCATACACTGCACACCCGCCGCTGGCGTTGATGGTTTATAAACGGGTACTCAGCCAGGCGGTGAGAGATGTCAACTGATCTGTTCTGTGGGATTATAGGCAGAAGTGGAAGGACAGCAGAATGTTTCGATAGCAATTGTTTTATAAGACAAATGCGGAAGTTGCGATGACTAAGAGTAATATATAAAATAAACGAATTATGTTCATGCACAATATAAGCATTTAAAACTGAAACATTTAGAAGTCTTTTGAATAATTTTTTGTACCAGATTCTAGTCCGCTTGCGCTATATTGAGTACATGGCCAGCATTTGGTCCTTTTATCCACCCCGCCCATCATGATATTGTAATCCAATATCAAGATGGGTTTGGTAGAACCTCTAATGGACGGAACACCGTTGCCATGGTATGTCGAGAGCATAGGCACTCTATTGCTATCTCTCCACACCATAACATCGATGTCTCTGGAGGTAATCTCACCTGGGCGCATGTTGTTTTTAGGTAGATTGTGTAGGGCCTCTGGCACAAACAACCTATTCGTGCGCAAAGTTCCTACACAATCAAAACCCAACGATTTTAGGCGCCGCGCTAGACATAGTGATTTGTAAAAATTGTCCATCCACAACGTGTGACCCTCGACCGTGTATAAGTCTTAGAACAATTGCGGGCGTGGATGATTGTAATATTTCTTCCGTTTACTGTAGCGGAGATTTTTTATAAGCATGTACCTCAAAACGCCATAAGTAACCGGTTTGAGATTCACAAATCTCATAAGTTTTAATCCCTACTGTAGCGGCTTTGTATTATATTAAAGTCGTGGTGGCCCGGAGGTTAAGGCACCCGCTTCTCATGCATGAGGTGTCATCTCATGGGTTCGAAACCTGGCAAGTACCAATGTGACTTTTTCCAAGTTATATGTACTTTCTATGATTATTTAGACACCACTGACATACGGTGAAGGTAAACATCGTGAGGAAACCTGGACTTATAATTTCTAATTATAAGTTTGAAATCGCCAACCCGCATTGAGCAAGCGTGGTGATTAATGCTCAAACCTTCTCCGTGTGAGAAGAGGCCTTTGCTCAGCAGTGGGCACTTATAGGCTGACGACGACGATGTAGCGGCTTTGTTAGGAATTCATTGGTTGATATCCAACCAACCTTTCCATTGCAGAAGAGATTCATCTTACGATATATTTCTGCTCAAACTATAAAGATCCTGGACAGCGGTACTAAAAAAATCAATAATAGGTTGAATCTTAAGTAATTTTGCTTCTGAGGCGTCCAGTCTTAGAGCACACATGTCTTCATTATTTCTAAAATGTAAAAATTTATTTAACAACATAAATATATTAAAAGTCATATGTGCGATAAATCCTGGAGTAACGAAAAGGTCAGGACTAGAACTCCAGTACTCCTCCAGTCTCGATTTTACGACAACACCCATCCCAAGGATGAGCCCAAAGTAAACATAAAGTTCATCAGCCGTGGTATCGCGCCACTGGTTGATGCGACTGTTGGGAAAAAGTTTGTTAATGTCGAGCATCTAGTAGTAGTAGTCTCAGATGCAATGTACTCCATAAATTGCCGATCCCATATCGCAATGAAAATATTATATGGGTCGACACTTTGAGTTGTTGGACCAACATTACTTTCGCTTAACATTTCTCTCCTCGATTCTGGTGGAATCGGAGGATTTGGAAACGCTGACCACTCAAAATCGTTAACAGCCCATGGTCGCACCATTGTTGACGTCGGGACAGCCTCAACGATAAATGATGGCTGGCCTTCAATGTCTTCGGTGTCCATGGGTGTTTCCAAAAGCACCTAAAGGTGTGAGGAATCAGTGGTGCGACTAAATATTCATCATCGCTCTCACCATCACTCGGTTCGCTACCTGCAAAAAATTATAAATCCGTATTGAATATGATGAAGGCAAAAAGCTAACCTGAAGTTATTTTTAAATGCCAACAAAGTATACCTTAACTGAGCACATTGAGCATATTTCTTCATCGCGAAGACGACTCTGGTGAGAGCGAGGAAGTGCTACCGGAATCGGAAATGGTTGGTGAGCTTTGGGTGTCACATTCAATAAACCTGAATCAAAATCATCCTTGTATTATCTATAACTTTAAATAAAATTTAAGAGAAAGGCTTCTTACCTGCTTACGTCGATGGTGAAGGCACCGAAATTGCCGGTGATAAATATGGCTCGTTAGCCACAGAACTTATTGATGCCACTTCATCCACTGTATTTAAAATTACAGTCGGTGAAGTTGGTGATGGTCGATTGGCAACCGTCACAGACCTATACACAAAATAGAAGCGCAGTGTTTTATCTATGAAAAGCTTAAGACCCGCGAACAAAATCATAAAAATTTTATATTACTTACGGTTGCCACGCGCGTTGCCGATATGGAAGCAAAGGAGCCTCAAGATCTTGGCTACTTGGCATTTCCGCGACATCACACATTATAAGTCTAAAATAGAAATTTCATAGTTTAAAAATACAATATTGCAAACACTATGACAAAAAGCAATGTTGAAAAAAATTCACTCGTCATTTGTGGAAGGTCCGGGTCGCTTATTCGGGCCACAGCGTAAGACGCGGCCACGACGATTTCCACGACTTCCTGTACCACGCGTAATAACCGCCACCTCTTCCACAACCACTGATTCTGGTGCAGCTGTACCACCTCTCACACGCACACCACGACGCCCTCTACCAGCAGCATACGTACGCGGCCGTCTTATTGTACTAATTCAAAACGAGCAAATGAAAACATGCGTTTTAAAAAGCGTTTAGTATTGTTTGTTAGTTACAAAAATACACATTACGAATTTTTCCCCTTAAACTTTTCATTTTGTATATACATATTAGAGTAGTTTTTTCCCACATCGGTTTTAGAAATAACCTCTGTATTATTTTTTTACCTATATTTATTACATAGAACATTTTAAGGACAACAATACCCAATGTTACAAAAAACGAACAATGTTACTAAAAAAATGACAATTAGAAAAAAAGCTACCACTGCACCAAAGTACAAAAACAAACATGAATGTCTTATCCCCATTAATTCTACCTACAGAAAAAATGGCCGACTCGATAACCCTAAAACAAATGCGAGTCTATCAATCAACCTTTAGGAGGCCGATTCGGTTTGCGAAGTTATTCAATTCAATATTACACAAAATCTAATCAATTATACTTTAACACAAATCGTAATAGATTAAAACAATTAATTTTAAGAGCATTTGTTTTAATTGTTTTGCTACTATAAGAATATTTTGTATTAAAATATTGATAACTGGTACTCTCGCGCGGTTTCACCCGCTGCTCGGCTCCATTTAATCGAAGCGTGATGTTTTATAGCACTCAGGAATATTGTAGCTATCAGTGAAAGAATTTTGGAAATCCGACCAGCAGTTCCAAAGATTACCGCCTACATACAAATTTGCAAATTTTACCTCTTATAATATTAGTATAGATATCATCTAATTTTACTAATATTTATATCAATATGAATCGACTGTTTGACGAACGTGGTTAGCTAGCAAAGGTTTTGTCTTATCTGGAATTTTAGGGAGATCCAGACTTGCAAACAAGAGTTTTATCCTTATTTCACTAAAGGTCATCTTGATGACTGGAACGAAAGCGTTTTCTAACGCTCGCAGTTCCGTCACCTGCGCACAGACACAATAAGTTGATTAGAACCAACACTTGTCAGTACGTTACCCTCGTTGATATATCACTTTACTGACAAAATAGTCAAACAAGCTTAGACTGGTTGTACCAACCTGTGGATGACCCTTTAGCAATTCGTACAAAGAAGTGAAAAAGTCACTCCTTTGTATGTGTTGCGGAGCAACGCATAATTCGATTTTAGCAAATCTTGGGTGGACCTGTTAAACAATAGATATTTGTGCGTTAATTTAAAATCAATAATAAAACACCTATGTGGTAAACTAAGAGTAGATCTTAAGCATATATTTAAACAAAAGAAAGAACATTATTTCAATATTATTCAAGCAAAGGTTTAAGGGCTGAAAGAGAATCTCCATGTCATAAAATAAACAACGTGAACACAATTTGTACACATTAAATAAAAAAATTATTAAACTTACTCGCAGCCTATAGGATCCAAATGGACATATGTATCCAATTGCAGAATGAGGCACATAAGCAGACAGACCCTTCTTTAAGGATTGCTCCTTGACCCACTGCTGCACCGGTAGGTGTAGGGCACCGAGCACTTCCACCCGACGATTTGCTTCTGACTTCGACTCATACGCTCCGAGAGCGATCATAGATTGTTTCAATTCTATTGTTTTATCTTCAGCCACTAATGATGGACCTGCAAGATCGAGTATAAGAGAAGATATGTGTGATGTAAATATAGGTAAGACTAGATATACAATTGTCTAAAAATATTACAGTAACAATTAACTGAATAGCTTACTCAATATAAACACAGGGGAGAGAAGCTCATCCTTTGCATCTGTTGTGCCCATAGCATCATCGACGTGATGTATTTCTTTATTTTTTAAATTTCTTAGCAAAACCAACACTGTTTTCTGTAGCTGGTACGCTACTACACATATTCGTTACGACAGCTAAAACCTAAAACGAAAGAAAATACCCATTCGTTAATGATGTTATTATGTTATCGTTATCAAACACACCTTTATCGGGATTGGTGTAACTCTTTGTTGCTTCCGATGTCGGTTATATGACACATTTTTAAGTTTCCAATCTTGCCAAGATTCAGGCTAGTTGCTATTTGTACTAGTTGCGGTGTGGCTTCTGGTTCGGCTTCGGATTCTGACGTTGTACTAAAAAGGTGGTCTAAATCTTCTAGGAAGGATTCGGCTGTATCCGAACCCTCATCTACAAATTCAGATTCCTTTAAAATTATTACCAATTGTTTGCAGCCACGCCTTGCTGTGGCTAACGTTTGTATTTTTAACATAGCGCCATCTATTGAATACTTACTTAACCTAGTCAACAGATATAACCATATCTGTTAGAATCATTTGGAGCTAATAGATAATTGTAACTGACAAATATTTTGAACAAAGATGGTCTATCTTCATAGAAACGATGCCTCTCTGTATTTTATAACTCAAGAACATGACAAGCACATTGCACAGTGCACATTGGGAGCAAATTGACAAGTCTTTTTTTTTAAACAAACGAAAGCTTTCAACGTGTCACATATTCAGTATTGTTTCTAAAGATTACAGGAATCGTATAGACAAGTGAAGCTTCAACAGTAAATTATTTATTTGTGTATGTGTTGTTTATTATCAGAAATGAAAGTGAAAGTAGATCTTAACTACAAAGTACTAAAGACACGAAATATTTATCGTCCGTTCATTTTGCAGAACTAAAAAAAATTAAATACAAGAAATCTTTTTGATAATACCCAATTTACATAAATTGGTTTCTAAGATCTAAAATTAACCTTTCAATCGTGGCAATTCGAAACGCTTGGGTTTTGATGAATTATTAAGAAGATTGAAATGAAAATACTAAATTAGTGAATATTTTTTTATGTAAAATTATTAAAAAAAATGTCGTATTTGGTACTCCAGTTTGTTTCCTCCCAGGGAGTCGCTCGGTTGCGTCGAGGGACACAGGAGGTGGTGAGGGCACGGGCGGGGGTGAGGGTGTCGATAAAGAGCTGTTGGTATCGGGGGAGGTGCGCTCGCGACGCAGCAGGGAGGCCGGCAGGTACTGGTTCAACTGCTTGCGACGCACGTACCGGTCCTGAGGAAATATAGTATGTTACTTACCACTGACAAACTTGCATCACGGGAAACTTATATAACGATTCTAAAGTGCGTAAAATAATCATTTAGTTTGGGGGCCAATGCCAATACCAAAGAAAAGTTAGCAGTAAAATATTTCCTGTATAATCATACCTTCCCTTAGCATATAAGATTTACTAGCTTGACTGTTGACGTTCTCCAAGAAGGTCTGGATGTCATATATCAAGTCTAGGTTTAGCGTGCACTTCTCAAACTGCAACCCGATGAACCACATTGAGCAGCAGTTGGCTGGAGGCTGCCCAGTGGTTAGCATTGAGGGGCGCAGAGTTGAAGCACTCGGTGTTCACGTGAGCGAGTGCGATAGAGGTGTTCTGCTCAAGTGTAGCTGTAAAAAATTATGAATTTATTATTTACATATTTACGTTAGTGTGTTTAAAAAATCATGCCCTCGTACTAGGCTTTTCTCCTGTTTCGCGGGTACGTTTAGACAAATACATTTTATCATACACATATGTGATGTGTTCATAGGCTCAAAAAAACAATCGACAATCAAATCTGCGATGCCTCCGCGCCATCCGTCCAGTCAAAGCAAGTTTAATATACTTGAAGTGATCACTGACCGATTAGATGTCGGATCCTGCTTTCGACGAGCCCACTCCACTGCAGCTGGTTGTCCGGGCTAACGAAGGAGGCCATCAGTACTAAGTAGCACTTGTACTGGGAGAAAAACTCGGTATTCTCAAATAAATCAGCCCATCTACGTTTATTTAATAATTTATCGACCGTTGCCGTCGGGCCTGTGAACAAATCAAAATGTAAAATATTTTTTTCACTAGCCTTTTTATCACTAGTTTTATTGTTAATTGTTAATTTGAGATACTTTCTAACAGTAACAAAAGCAATTAATATACCAGTGACATCATCATCATATCAGCCACAGGACGTCCACTGCTGAACATAGGCCTCCCCCATTGACTTCCAGATAGGCCGGTTGGAAGCGACCTGCATCCAGCGGCTTTCTGCGACCTTAATCAGGTCGTCTGTCCACCTTGCGGGTGGCCGTCCTACGCTGCGCTTGCCGGTACGTGGCCTCCACTCGAGAACCTTTCTGCCCCAGCGGCCGTCGGTTCTACGCGCTATGTGCCCTGCCCATCGCCACTTCAACTTACTAATCCGCTGGGCTATGTCGGAAACCTTTGTTCGTTTGCGGACATCCTCGTTTTTTATACGGTCTCGCAAAGAAACTCCGAGCATAGCCCTCTCCATAGCGCGCTGAGCGACCTTGAGCTTCTTTATAAGGCCCACAGTAAGAGACCACGTTTCAGTTCCATAGGTCATCGCTGGTAACACACATTGATTATAGACTTTCGTCTTAAGGCACTGAGGTAAGTTGGACGAGAAGATGTTGCGTAGTTTCCCGAACGCTGCCCATCCAAGTTGGATTCGACGATTGACCTCCTTCTCGAAATTGGACCTACCTAGCTGGATCACTTGTCCCAGGTATACATATTTGTCAACAATTTCGAGGTTAGAACTCCCAACTGATATCGGATAGGGCGTGACATGGGCGTTTGCCATGACTTTCGTCTTGTCCATGTTCATTCGGATACCAGTGACATAATAGGTTTGAAATGTTCTACGTGGATGATGTACATACCAATCTTAAGCTCCTCTACCATGACGGACCTGGTGGAAGCGCTCACGTTGAACGTGGAGTTCTGCTGTGGGTTAACAGGAGTGATTACGGGCATCAAGTGGTACCGATCCGCTAAGTTCACCTGAAATGAATTGCATAGATATAGACACTTATTATTTCATACATTTCTAAAAATTTAAGAAGAAATTAATTTAAAAATTTTAAATTATGAAAACTCAATACTTACTCGCGGATCCCAAACGGGGAAACCAAGTCTGACGGGATCGACTCGCTTTAGCAGAACTGGTAGTGGCCATCTCCACTGGCAGAAGATTAAGAAGAACTTATGAACTAAGGTTGCAGGCAGTGCGTTGGGGTACAACTGACATGTACGAGCGACCAACATGGCCCACGACACGCCGCCCAGGTAGCCCAGCGCATTGGAATAAATTCCTCGACCTGTTAGAAATAATTCATGGATGATGATTATATTTTTATGAATTGACATTTAAGACGATTTTTAAATTCGGATTGAAAAGACGCTTAATCATCAAAAAATTTTCTTACCTGGAATTTTCGACAGAGGAAGTCTTGCGAACAATAGATCTATTTCAATTCCATCAAAGTTCAATTTGATAACCGGAACGTAAGCGTTTTTAACGGCTATTAAATCTTTGACCTGCATAAAGACACAGATGAAATGTTAGTTTCATGGACATGTATCTATTGCCCGATATAACTGTACAGGTAAAACGGTCGAGCAAGCTACAACAAGTTGCACCAACCTGTTCTTAATAGTATAAAGTGCTGAGAAATACTCCTTCTCTCGATGTGCCGTCGCAACGCACAGCGCGTCAATGTCAGCGCCTTTGTTTTGTACCTGTTAAACAATAGAAAACCATGTGTTAATACAAATAAAACGGGAATGCTTGCAATGCTACCGCCTCAAAGCTCAATACTTTGGTAAGAAAAGAATAAAAAGTCCACATATAACAATCACTCACCCCTAGCCAGTAGCCGAAAGTAAAACACCTTTCCTCCGACAGAGCTCGCTATCTCAGCGGGCATGTTCTGCCTGAGAGACGTACTGCCTCACGAGCTGGTGCAGGGTGCCGAGCACCTTACAACGGTGCTGAGTCTCTTGCTCTGACTCGAACACACCGTACGAGGCCAGGTACTCTCGCAACTGCAATTACAATGTAAGCTAATGTAAATCCTGTCGAACATAATTCGCTTAATATATGAAACTTTAAAATAGAACAAATAACGATAAAACCGACGTGAGATATAGCGGAGGTAAAACCAAAGGTATTTGGTCTCTGTTGGGTCTGGCGGTGAGTTTTCCCAAATTGTAGGGCTATAATATATTACTGAGGAAGTACTTCGAGCTAGACCACATTTTTGGCATGATTTTTATCTTGTCTAACACACACAGTAAACACTTAATACAAATACTTAAATCTTTATGAACTTTGTTTTCTCAACAAGAATTAACTTTTTAAAAGTCACCGAATGAGAAATATATCTAAATTTAAAACTAATAATAGTGAGCACGCAGAACAATTTAAAAATGTAAAACAATATCGGTAGTTAACGAAATCCTGGCACTCAAAAAATTAAAAAAAGTGGGTATATAAAAAACAAATGACAATCAGTGGTCGGTCCGATCGTATATGTGTGCGTTACGAGCCGACTTACACGGATGAATTAATTACAATGATGCTGTTTGGATGTGGCATTCATATCGAGTACAAAAAAAAACATTGTTTTTATTATTATTTTGCTTATACGTATACGAAACAATTTTAAATCTTATTTTAATTTTTTTATTAAAGTATATAACATGTGTATTATTAGCACACAACTTATTATGTTGAAGTAACATGCAATTTTAGAGTTGCCATAGTTATGGATTCTTTTGCATAAACGGGTAATTTATCCAAACTTCTAAACTAATATTATAAATGCGAAAGTAACTCTGTCTGTCTTTTCTTCACGCCTAAACTACTGAACCTATTTGTGTAAAATTTGTGTCAGACATACATAGTTTGAAACTCGAGAAAGGACATAGAATAGCTTTTCAACCAAGAATCTGCAGGATTTTACTATTACACGCGAACAAAGTCGCGGGCAAAAGCTAGTTGTATATAATTTGACACCTTTATTTTTTTTCTATTATTTCTAGATAACCGCGTTATATGTATAATGACTTTGATAATTATATTTGCCTGAAAATCACAAGCTAGTGTAAATATTTTTATTTAGAATTTTACATATGTAAGTATGTATGTGTTGACTGAAGACTGTATGAGTCTATCGATTTCTGCTAGTGACCACACAATTGCACAGGTACTACTTTAGCTAAATCATTAAAGTATCAATTGTTAATGCTTGAGTCACACTTACTGGAAATGCTATTAATTATCGCGATAATGGACGTTAATCGTAGGTGTAATTTGATCACGAAATAAATGGTTTTAGCTATGTTTTTCATTTTTTAGTATCATCAATTATCGCGATAATTAATGGCATTTCCCGTTAGTGTGGCCCAAGCATAATAGGTATTCACAAACTCTCGCACGCTACCTGCGATTCTGTGGCTCATCTAGCCATTAGTCGAATATCTTTTGTTTTAATTAGATAATTATTGGGCCATCCATATTCCATTACGTTGTATGTATTGGTTCAGTGAAACTGATGTAATTGATAAGTAGGTATTCATTAAGATATGTAGGGACGTTGCTGGGGAATCAATGCAAACTGTCACAATTGTACAAATTCGTTTCGCCATGTACCAAACCAGTTTTTATCGATTATTACAACGAATCGATTATTACAAGAAATATAATTCACACATAGGAACATCTTTGTATTCATTCATCTTTTAATTTTAAAATGTCATTTCAATTATAAAATTATAAATTCTATTCATCATACTATCCTACTTATATATATTTTAAATGTCAATGTTTCTGTAAATGTATGTATGTTTGTTATTCTTTCACGCAAAAACGGCTAAACCGATTTGTCTGAAATTTGGTATCTTGAAAGGCAATACCCAGGATTTACACAAGGACTACTTTTTAACAACTCAGCAATGGAAGCTAGTATATCATTTGTCTATAAATGAAAGAAAAATACACACGTGTTCTTACCTAATAAAAACGAGTTTCAATTTTTAATTAACTAAATTAACATTTAAATCTATCAAGATGAGCATTTATCACGATCTTATACACTATTAAAGTTTTATTTATTCCACTAATACACTTATGCAACATAAAATGACGATAAAATATAACACAAGTAATTTCTACCTTCAATACTAATTAGTATTAATTGATAACTAGCAATTAACTAATTGTTCTACCCTCAGATAACTAATTTTCGTTCAGAAACTCATTTTCTTAAATCGATTTTATTAAAAGATTTGGGTGCCATTCCCAAAATGCGTTTAGTGAATAATGTGTTTTTTATGTAAACCTAATTTATTTCTGTAAATGTAAATTTCTTTTAATTCTAAGAAATACTAATTAATTTTACCTTAATTACCGCGTCCATAAGTCCGCGTCCGCGTACGTAGTAGGACAATAGAATATCAAGATTTAATGAGCTATCAAGTGTTCAAACTAGTGGAGCTCAACTGACAATAAAGTTAGGTCACTCTTATGTTTATGATTAACTAGCTACTCTCGCGCTTTTTCACCCGGCTCCATTTGATCATAGCGTGATGTTTTATAGCCTATAACACTCAGGAACATTGTAGGTATCGACGATTGAAAGAATTTTGCAATCCGACCAGCGTTTCCAAAGATTACTTATTCTTCTCTCAAAACTCTTTATTATAATATTAAGTATAGATTTTACTATGGTTTGTTAATTGTAGAATACAATTTTGTACCTACAGAGAGCGGTTATTCTATAAATATTATACTTGGTACTTCTATCTCGGATACGCGGGCGAAGCCGCTGGCAGAAACTAGTACCTAAATAAAAAAGAGGAATGTAATAACAAGATCCTTAGCCCGATATTCAGCTTCTCCAATCCTATGTTATCTCCTATACTTTTGGGATGCGTACATGCAGTGGAAGCGAAATAAAAATACAGATTTATATGTTTTACCTTTATTATTAATACAGTTAAATTCTGCTCTTGATACTCCTTAAAACTATTTACATCAAGGATACAGTTATAGTATGTAGAAATTGAGTCAAGCTCAATTTCTACATACTATTTTGAAATTGAGCTTGACTCAATTTCTACATACTTATACTTAATACAAATAATTTTAAATAATATATGATTCATTTCATTTAAATTAACAAATCTCCAAATAATCTTAAAGTATAAAATGAAATCGATCGAATTTATAGTCTTTTCTTTTTTGAAAAGAAAATATTTATAAAGGTCACCCTATTCTTTTGATTTAGTTCTATATATTTCTAAACACATGTGGAATGTGGTATTTTCCTATTTTGGTTAGTGTTAGAGCAGTAGTACAGCTCTCTGAGATTCGTTCGATCCTCTTGAAGTTCCCTGAAGTCGTTCGGCTTGCAGGCAGAGGTGCGCGTGAGATGATTGAGCTTCAACCGATATGACATCTTGTCTCGTTGTGTCAAAATCCACTGTGCCAGACTGACGAACGATATTCAGCAGTTTTTGGCTTGAGACTCTTCGTCTATCTGTAACAAATATACACTGTTTTACACACCGCTAAATAAAATGTATCGGTATACATTATAGATATTTATTGAATTATAATTATTTGATAAGGTATCAGACAGACATAATTATCAAACAAGACATAGAGATAGATTGTGTCAGCCATTAATTTAATTGGCAAAGGTAAACAGGCCATTCATGGGATTCTGTTTTGAGTGTTATAACAAAATCTCAGGCGAAATACAACAATTAAATGAAAGCAATTTTAAATTATGTGTAAAGAAAACTTTGTGTAAAAAAGCATATTACAAACTGAGTGATTATATTGAGGATAAGGATGCTTGGATTATTGTCCTTAAGGTTATTTTCTTTTTATGTTTCTCTGTATATTTAGCGTTACACTGTTCTCACATAATCAAACCAACTAAATAATGTATCAAAGAATCTTTTTGTGACACTGTTTAAAAAAGAGTAACCATGGAGTTTCTTGCTCGTTCTTCTCCATCGGAATCTACACTTAGCAAATAGCTTCACTAAGAAGACTGACCGACAGACTGGCACTTTATATCTTTAAAATTTTGTTTGACGTTCAAAAGTGCCTGGGTCTAATTGAAATAAATGATTTTGACTTTGACTTTTACATATAGATGAACCTTTGGAGGCAAAAAAATTACTGCAATCAATATCACTAGAAACAGTAGCGTATAGTAAAGGAGATATATGTAGCATTCAGCAGATGTATAGGATACCGGATACTTACCTATGAGGTTTAATATCTTGCTCTCGACGAGCTCTCCACTGCAGCTGTTCGTCCGGGCTGGTGGAGGAGGCCAGCAGTATGTTGATCTTGTAGCGAATGAACCAGAACCAAAAATGATCCAGTAACAAATAAGTTAGCGTTGAAACGTTAGTGCCCTATTTGCCGCACAACCGCACTCTACAACGCTCCGAGGAACACTGACTGAGTTTCTTCCTTGTCCTTCTATTGATGCTTTATCTGTGTATTACTTTTTGGTTTATGTCTTTTGTCTAAACCCCATTGTATTGATTCCTAGATTATCGGTGCACCCCGAAACCTTTTATGTTGTGCGCAGCCATAACTTACAAATTCCTACAACCGGCAATAAAACTAATGACCTTTCTTTTGTCTCAAAATCCATTAGAAAAATACCAAGTGTTCGGTATCATGTGGTATTTTCTATACTAATATTATAAAGAGGTAAAATTTGTAAGTTTGTTAGTTTGTATGTAAGGGGTAATCTTTGGAACCGCTGGTCTGATTTCCAAAATTCTTTCACTGATAGATGCATACAATGTTCCTGAGTGCTATATATAGGCTATAAAACATCACGCTACGATTAAATGGAGCCGAGCAGCGGGTGAAACCGCGCGAGATTAGCTAGTTAGTAATAAAAAAGGAATAGAATCATCAAACTGTTACTGTTTATGTATCGTTGGTTATTGCGTATACTAAAATTCATGCAAATCAATTCCGACCAATCCAATTAAACCTGAACTGAATAACGCTGGTGACCTAACTGTTGTGGCAAACATAACATGACAATATTACTAGTAGGTATCGTGTCACAGTTTGTGAACAGTAACAATAAATAATTAAGCAAATTTGGAGTCAGCGGTCCTTCAGTGTTCTCCGAAACGGCAGAACTTACTTTTCACGAAGCTTGACCTTGACCTCCCAGAAGTACCAGATTTATTGGATCTTCTAGAAGATGTGTTACTCAAAAACTTGGAACAGAATTGTGTGCGCTTGATACATTATTGCCGCGAGACGGATGAGAGCCAGCGCCTCGTGACCAATAACAACAACTTCAAACTCAGCTATGGCTATAAAAACTTGTTGAAATCCAAAATTTCCTGGTTGAATACCTAGCCGGTGCTCACTTACGAAATTATTTCATGAGTATCTCGACATTTTTCTACCCACGCTAAGAAATGAGAAGATTAGATCGCAGATGACTTTTTTTTGGTTAATCTGTTGCAGTCTAAATCGATTATCCTCAATCCCCAGAATGTCCAGGGTTCTCAACAATTATAGTGACCTGATAGACGTATTAATACAATTTAAAGTTGTGTTAAGAATTAATAAATGATTATTTTGTTTCTAATAATATTACCCTGTATATTTACGTTGTTATTTAAGGATAAATGATTTTGCTTTAATTTATAAGTACTTTGGTCACTTTTCATTTATACATCAGCTAATTTATGAATGGACCTTTTTTACCTTGTTAATTGTAATTGTTATTATTTTTACCCGACTACGGCAAAGCAAAAGGAGGGTTATGATTTTGACAGGCTATGTATGTATGTATGTTCATCTGTTCCCTCCTTCTAACTTCTAGACTACTTATCAGAATTCGACATTTGACATATCATAAGATACGTCTTAATTGTCCGCTGGTTATAGGCTATACATATGATGTATCACAAAATCTAATGTGGCGTCCTCTAGCGGTCAAAACGTGTTTGGTATCATTTAAAGCGCTTTACTTGTACATTTTAAATATATATATTACTAGCATTTGCCTGTGACTTTGCATGTATTCATGGGCTGATTGCATATAATTCACATCTTTTCGTTCATACCAAATTTTTATCGGTCTTCATAAGATTTTTGTTTCAGTCTTCTTGGTATTTTAGTGAAACTACGTTGCACTCTCTAGGGCCTGTATGTCGTTTATAAAGTATGGATTCCACACCTGAAAGCCATACTTTAAGATTGGTCTTATAAAAGTTTTGTAGATTTTGATCATCATTTCAGGTGTTAAGTTACAAAAAGCTTTCTTGCTGACTGTAGTTATATGCTGTTCCCATTCAAGGTCTTCTGTAATCCTTACTCCCAAGTCTGTTTGCTCCTTTACATTTTTCAATATAATTAAGTCGGTAATATAATTACATTGAAAAATGTAAAGGACTAATTATATTGTCGGTTCAATATAATTAGTCCTTTACATTTTTCAATGTAATTTTTCAGTATAAGTAAGTCGGGGATTGCGTTTATCTATATGCAAAACCGTGCACTATGAAGCATTTAAGTTTATAAGCCATTCCTTAGACCACTGGGCTACTTTGTTGAGGTCGTCCTGCAGGCTGTCATGGTCGATTAACGGGTTTGCAAATATTTGTGTGTCATCCGCAAATATGCTTACATTACACTGTAGGCAATGGGGAAGGATTAGTTTTAAAGATTTATATCAGTTGCCTTTTTTAATCAATATGATTGCATTATTTACTGATTATTTTAAAGCAATCCCTACATATTCTTATTAAGACGTAAACTGGATACTCGTACCAATAATAATATTCGTGACTACTCCAGCGAAAACAAAAGGACGGATTATGTGTTCATAGCTCCCGTGCATGTGGTATATTTATATATTTCCACGAATTTGTCTCGGTCACTATTTTACCTGACATTGTTCATTGGTTTTTAAAACTTGTTTATATAAAGCGACTTTGACTTGACTTGCTTTTCAAAATAGAGTTGTTTATAGTATTGTACTTGGCTAAAGTACTAAACATTTTTTGTTAAAAGTTATGCGGTTAAGTAAAAACGTATTTTAAATCTTCAATCCATTCTATGCCATCTTTTTACAAGATGTTATGTGATGTGATTAAGTCTCGAAGGTTGTAGCTTCTTTTCTAATCTACGGGGATTGTTGGTCGCTTGTTTGTTTTTATTAAACAAAATATCTTAAGTAGAGCTAGTGCCGCCTCGTTGGCCCCGCCTTGCGCGCCCCGCCTCTGCTTGCTCGGTGGAATGAGGCTTTAGTCTCCTCTTTGTTCCGCCTCGGAGGCGTGCAAGGACAGAACATACAAAACGAGACACCAATATCATTTTAACTTATGAAATAATACGTTGTGGCCATTATATGTC